GTAAGTATATCATGTTAGTAAAGCTGGTTCACTCTAGAAATAAAAATGAAACTGTATCCCTACTTAAGACCACATACAAAATAGACTGAATATAAAAGATAAATCTAGAAAGCAATTAGAGGAATACACTGAAAACTTCTTAAGACTCCCAAAGCTCAAACATTAATTGCTAATCCTATCGGAACCTGATAGAAAAGTGCACAAACCAGACGATCAGGTATCAGGAAAAAGCAGCTCAAAAGGCTAACAAGCATATGGAGAGACGTTTAAACTCAAGCTCATCATTATTTACAGAAATTGATTAGAACAATGCTACCTCAGTTACACACAGGAGACTGTCAAAAATGACATAGCTGGACCACGTCAAGTCATCAGGATTGACGAAGGCCGTGAGCAACAGGAGCCCGGCCCACTGGGGGGAACGGGCAGCCCCAGAGCAATGCTTAGTTATGCGGAGGCAACTCATTCCTGACCCAGCCATTGCTCTCCTGAGGTGTAACCCAGAGGCGTCGCCTCACTGATCCACAAGCCGACACACAGGAGGCATTTACCAAGCCACACTCGGGTGGTGGAAGGTTGGAGAGGGCCGGATGGACCTCTTTGGGAGAGTGGAATCGGTAAAATGTGATAGGTACTTATATCATGCAGTACTTTGCAACTGCTGGAAGCAAAAATATTTGTCTAACAACATGGATGGTCTAGAAAAAGTGCTGAGTAAAATATATATATATATACATGAGAACAGGGACTGACTTGTGTGATCCAGGCCCATTTAAATGTGTTTAAATTAGACTCAAGACCATTTTACTGGTACACATTTTTCAGAAAGGCACGCAAACACATTAGAATGGTTACATTGGAAGGGGGAGCCATGGGGCGAAGGGAAACAGTGAGTGAACCCAGAGAGGGATCTTGTGGAGGCTGGCGTTGGGGATACACAGCAAGCTGGGCAGTGCAGTCAGTGCAAACCTCTGACTGACATTTATTCATCTGCACGTGGTGTGGGGTGTGACCACCTTCCTTCTCCACAGCCAGGTCTCAAAGAAAGGAGAAGGGGGACCTGTCATTTTAGGGGTTTGCTTGTCTTGGTGAAGAACTCAAGCTGTTTTTACATAGTGCCACAGAGAGAACCCTATTAGCTCTCTTCTTTGGAGAGGGGATACTCGGGGTACACCAGGTAGACACGGTGGGGGACTGGTGTCAGGCTTTCCCATCCAACTGAAATCTATGAAGCGTGTGAATTTCCAAGACCCACCATCTGTTGTTCCAGAGCCTACAATTTGGTAATCTTCATTAATTTTCTCAATCTCAAAAACTGAAGCTAGTGTTTAGAGAGGACGAGTTTTCCAGCCCACAGAGCCGCTCAGCCTGGATGTGGGACAGCCAGGACTGGAGCAAAGGTAAGGAGAGAAAATTTCTTCTTACCTGTCTCTGGGCACCTCTGCCAATGATTGTCTTCGCTTAACCTCAAGGTCAAGGCAACCTATCTTACAGTGTTCATTGTCTCCGAGGATGAGCTTTAGCGAGAGACTTGTTTGCTTTTTATAGTATTAAAAGAGACAGTGAAACCTGCCTCTCAGAAGATCATTGTACCAAGTCCCAGTGGCTCCGCGGGGAATATTTGTTTCCTCATTTATATTCATGTCTCCAAAAGACAAGCAGACCTTGGATGAAATTTCAGGCGACAATAGATTATAAATAATGTATCCATATTTTTTTCTCTTCCATATACTTGTATTTAATTCCCCCCAGAGTCCTGTGCAAACACCAGCGACAAGAGGACAGGAAGCTATTAACATGATGGAAAGAATGAAATGGGCTTATGTTCTGTGGCATCAACACAGCGGGGAAAACACCTTGATCAAAGGTGTTGGAGGTTTTGAGACCAGCTCTTCTCTTCTCTCTCTTTTCTATTTTTATTATTGTTTTTTGGGATATCAACTCTTTTCCAGGTCATCTTGGACAGGCCTATTTTGCACTGATCTCTTATCTTGGTCCACCTGGGACAAGGCGAGGAATTGTTCAGTGGATTGAGGCCACTCTTCATCAGAGAAGGCCTAGAAAGCACACAGAATGGTGAGTGGGATCTGCCCACCCTCAGAATATGATGCAGTTAAGAGGGAAACTCCCCTACTGACAGTGAAGTCAGATGGCATGCTAACTGCTCAAAACAACCAGCCTCTAAATCCCTCTGCCCTGGTTGCCTTCACGCAGGCTCTTCCGTTCCACAGACTTGCTGGGCAGGAGTAGTTCATGCTCTTGGGGCCCGGCTGGCAGGGTTCCAATCTTGCATGTAAGTGAAGAGACTTTGCTTTTCGGATTTGCTTCTTTCTCTTTTTGGTACCATATTCACCCTGCCCTTAGGAAGCAGAGAACCTTGTATTCTCTTCCTCCTTAATAAAACTTGCTCTTGGCAGGGGCAGGAAAGGGGAGCAGAAGGGACTGGCACAGGCAAAGAGCCTTCATTAATATTAACATGCAAGTGACAATGTAGCCTAGTGTTATTTATTTAGGGAAATTTGCATTTCAGTGGTAGAGCTCAAAATGAGGACTTTGGGCACTGGACTCTGCAGGCTGCACCTCTCTACCTGTGCCAACCGTGTGGAGGGTACTAGTCTTTTCCTCGTCCTTTTAGCTTTGTTTCACTAGAGACCCCCTCTTTGGTACTTTGCAGCTAGGATTTAACTTAGTCAACATCTATTAGGTCTGTCACAGCTTTATGAAGGTCATTTCTAATGCATTATTTCTGCCCAAGAGTTTTCCATTCTGCAACCAGTTGTTTCAGTGGGTTCTGATAAATTTCCAAGACAAAGCCAGCAAGTTGGTACTCATCAGCTACTGACATTTAAATTTAAGCTGTCTAGTAAAACTGCAAAAACTTCCAAACATGGATACTGCTTTCCTAGGTACTGTGGTGGTAGTGCCAAGTTCCCCAACTGTACATGAGCAAGCAGCTCAGTTAGTGACTACCCTCACTGCATCGGGAAATTGGACTCTTTAGTTTTCTCCTTTCTTTGTTGATGTTGATCATGCCCCTGGAGCCAGTGTCAGCCAAAGTCTTGCAAACACACGTAGACACACCCACATCTACCCACCCACCCACCTACACACTCACATACACACTTAAATACATCTTGTCAGTCCCCTGCACTGTCCACTAAATAAAGTCACCGTCCTGGCCTCTCTCCATATCTCCCTGTGAGTTGTGAACCCCTGGCTTACCTGATCCTGCTGAGCCCCCAGCTGGATCGGGAACACCACACCCAAACTCTTGCACATCCCTTAGTGCATTGTGTCTAAGAGAGGCCAGCAATGGGCACATGAGCTGGTGTACTTCTACAGCCCGGGAGGGGAGGGTCTGCAGTGAGGCAGAGCTGCAGGACTCCACAGAGGCTCCAGGCATAGAGTCAACTGCTCACCAGAGCTAGCTGTAGCCTCCCAGGACGGGAATGAAAAGCGCATCCCACAATGAGCAAGTGTTGAAGCCCATGCATTTGGGGAATAAAATGATTAGTTTAACCTCATAAATATGCAAATTGGGAGCTCCGTTTAAGTGTCTGTCATCTGTGTTCTTTTTATGGGAAAGAAATTCTTAATTCAGTGGAAAGCTCCATCCCATGGATCTTTAAGAGGTAGCTTGGGGAAGCGGACCATGGAGGACCTTTAATTAACCTGTGAGTGTGCAGGGAGGGGCTCCAACAAGAAGAGGCAGCACCCTCATTTCCAGCTAAGACACCTCTGAAACAGCATAATTGATTTTAGTCCCTGAACAGAGATCAAGCGTCATCTAAGTTCTACTTGGTAAAGACTTGTCTTGGATTCATGTCTTGGTTGTATGACCACAGTTTTTTTTTATTTTTTAATTAAAACATTTGTTTTTCTGATTAATATGCTCACTGAAGACCCTTTGTGAAGTATTGAACAGTATGAAAAAGAAGGGCAAAGAGGACTCATTCATGACCTCACTCCCAAAGGACCACGGGTAGAGGTGGCACGTTCCAACAGTGTCCTGCTTTGTCCTTCAGAATGGGTGTGTTGAGGGGAATGCACTGGAGTGGGGCTGGGGGAGTTCCTGTCCCCTCTCTGGGGATGGAGGGACAGGTTCTCGGACAGGGACAGGGATCCAGCCACACTGGTACTTCAGGAAGGCAGGCAGCCATGCGACTAGGGGTAAAAAGCCCACATTTGCCCCACACCACATCCCCAGAATGTGGGGCAGGGAGAGAATTCAGCCCGGGCTGGGCAGTCCCACGTTGCCAACTAGAGAGGTGTCATAGGAGATTGCAGAAAGGACTCTTTATCAACAGCCTATGCCACATTGGTGGGCGTGAGGATTAACTGGGATCACACACGGGATGCAGTAAGACAGGCAGAGATGAGTGCTCAAGGGGGGATGTCAGGTGTTTCCTCTTACAGATACAAGTATCTTCTGCTGGCTGAAGTGAGGGCAGGCAGGAGGGACAGCTGGATGTAGAAGACCTGGGTCTAGGTTTGGACCCTGCCACTCACTTGCCACGTAGGTCTTTCATTTTCTATGTACCACATATCATTGTGGGCGAAATGAGGATAGAAAGACTGTCCTTGCCAGTTGTTTTAAGGACTGAGTAGAGTTTTGGATGCAAAACCACTTTGCTGGTGGAAAAGGGCTGTAGATTTAATATTGAGGATTTACCGCTGTTCCTGACACCAGCTGAGTCTAGGTATAGGCCAGGGAGGAAGGAGAGAAATAGGAAAATTTTTCTGGAAAAACATGCAGAAAATTGGAACTCAAAGGAACTTTTATGGGGTGCATTAGTTGGTCCAGGTGGAGCAGGGATTTGGGTGTCCTGTGACTACCCTGTAGTGGGGTGCTTCCTAGCAGAGCCTTGGGAAGGTGGGAGGAAGGAGGAGGCAGCTGAATCTCTGTGTCAGGCTCCTCCCAGGGCAAGTCTCAGCAGAGGCTTCTAAGGAGCCAAAGTCACCCAGGGGAGAAGTCATCAAAGTGGCCGTGACTTCCTCACCTGTGGTGAAGGCAGTGGAGGTGATGCTGCTCCTGGTGGCATCCTGGGCCGCCTGCAGGAGCACGGTGTAGTCGGTGTTCTCCAACAGCCCCTCCAGCCGGATCCAGGTGTCCTCTGCATCCACGATCAGCTCCTACACAAAGCCAGAGGAAGGGAGGTGGAAGGGAGAGACTGGCTTGCACTGTGGGAAGTGGGGAAGGGAAGTCCAAACTCCTTGGCCAGCTGGGTCAGCATTGTAGTGGCTACTGCTGCCCCCACCATCCCACAGAAGGAAAAAAAATGTGCCAGTAAGCAGAGACCAGCTCCCGTGTGAGATTTAGGTCAGCTCCTATCTCAGAAATGCACATTGGGATAAATTTAGGTACCTGGATTACTGAACCCAGTGGCCTGCAGATTGTACTGAACTTGCTCAGGAGCAGAAGCAGGTAAGCAAACAGGACCCTAGGCCGCCCTGATCCCATCAAATAGGCTACCTCTGCTGCAGTCTATCCTGTATATTTGTCCCCTGCATATGATTTCACTTTTTAAAAGAATCCCACTGAGAACAAGAATTTCAAAACCAGTGCTCTAGTGGATAATTTTCACTGCTGACCAAGACAAAGATTCATCATCTTTTTATGGTGGGTTTTGTTGATGTTGCCTTTCTAATGCTTACAAGACATAAAAGCCTGTTGAACCTGGGATCCAGCCCCCGTTCGCTTGCCCCTGAAGCCATCAGTTATTCCAACGCCAAGTAGTTGGAAGTTTCCAAAGTTTGCGTCCCAATACAGGAAGCTCAACCAGACCTGGCGAAGTTGCAGAGTGGCTTCTCTGGAGAAGACTGGGAGGCTGGGGGAGGGCTGGGGTGTTGCCCAGCTTGTGTGGTGAGCAGCAGCAGAGCCAGGACCACACCGGGGCCACCTGGCTGAGCATTCTGGGCAGCAGCCTTTGTCCCCAGCACGGGAAACCTAGCAGCTTCCTGTTAATTGCTTCCTGCCCTCCCTCTCATTCCACTGGCCAGTTCCACGCAGCCTTGCTTAGGAGAAGAGGTCTTTCTCCCTTTCAGCAAATTCTTACCTTGCGGCTTCCATCCGTGGATCTGTACGTTAGGACATAATTCTCGATCTCCGCCCTGGGAGGCTGCCAGGAGATCAGTGCGCTCTGTCTGGTGACTTCACTGGCAGTCAGGTTTGCGGGAGGGTCCAGGACTGCAAAGAAGGGAAATGCCAGGGGATGCCTGAATCTCCAGCTGCTCTCTGCTTGATTTCAGGCACGAAATCTCCTTGCCCACCTCTGTGGGCTGCTCCCATGCTGCCCTCAGCTCTGGCGTGGACAGGAGCATAAAGGGTGCTTCTGGGTCAGAAGATAATCGTTTAGCGCTGTGATCTTTCTTGCAGCTACTCTCTGTTCTGCTCACGTAGGCTTCTGGGCCTGGGAGTGACATCTTCCCATCTGATCCTCTAAGCCTGTGACCATGATCCTTTCCAACTACCATGTGAGTTTATGTTGGAACTTACAATATTCTCACCTTTTACCTTGGTCTACTGTTCTCTTGGTTATGACCCTTCTTAGTTAGTAGCTGTCTCCCCCATAGGTAGGTCCTGAGGATTGAACCCAGGGAGGGCCTCACACATGTTAGACAAGCACTCAACCACTGAGCTATATCCCAGCTCTTTTAAATTTTAGTTTGAGACAGGATTTCATTAAGTTGCTGAGGTTGGCCTCAAACTTGTGATCCTCCTGCCTCATCCTTCTAGTAGCTGGGTCATAGCAGTGTATATTTTTAATATCTGTTGGACTGCTCTGGGTTAGATGCATTTCCAGTGTCTACTTCTCTTGGCCGAGTTTTACTGCTATTACACAGACCCAGGATGGGAACAGGAAAGTAGACATGTGTTGATCAAGAGATATGGCACACTTTCATTGGATTCGGACCACATAGTCAGCCAAAATAACAGCTCAGAGGTGCACTGCCCAAAGCCTGTGGACTGAAATTGAGCCCACCATAAGGAAATGGGTCACTTCTAGGATCTAGAGTCCTGGTGTGCAGATGACCATGTACTCACGGGTAGAAAAGTTGGTGCTGACGGTGCTGCTGGTGAGAGGTCCACTGGTGGCATACATGGTGACGGTGTAGTGGGTGCTTGGAAGCAGGTCGATGAGCTGGAATTCCTCACGGACTCCATCAACCAAGATGGTCTCTCCAGCAACTGAAATCAGAGGAATGTGGGTGAGGACCGAGTAGGACTGCTCAATTTATGAAAGACCTGCCAAATCTAAATGCTTCACAAGAATTCAGTACCACAGAAGTCTGGAAAAACTCCTTTATAAGTTATCAAGCTTGGTATCCTGGTCTAAAAAAAGGATCCCCTCTCACATCCTATTACATCCTGAGAAAAATATTCCTTATAGTTCATGATTTCAAGATGGCAGCCTGCACTTCCAATAGGAACTCTTCACCCCACATCCAAAGGTAGGAAGAAGGGTGAGATTTCCCAAGCAAACAACAAACAAAAAACCCAACACAAACAAACAAATAAGAAACTTTATATGGAGGGTAAATTCTGTCTGTCTTCTGCCCAGTTCTCTGGAACCACAAAGAATAAGTTGAATCCTTGGTTTATGTGACATTTTCCTCCCCACCACCTTTCACAATCAAGTGCTGTCTTCTTCAGACTAACAAAACTCAGCCTCCTCCTCCCATCACATTCATGTGACAGTTCTAAAATCTTAACAGTCCTGAATGCTTTTCTCTGAACAAGTCAAAGTTTAGCAGTGTCCCTGCTGAATGCAAAGCTTAGAAGAGAATTGAGAATAATTAAAATTCACTGACCAAACAGGGCCAGTCTCTGTCTCCATTTCTGCTATTCATATTAATTTAGGGGTTTTAGGACAGCCACGTGCTATCATCCCAGGCTGAGCCTATTGCCAATGAAAGGCCTTGTGTATCACCACCCCACCCGCCCTGGCCTACTTGCTCTTTGGGCCCATGGACAGAGTTTTGCATTTACTGTTGCTGTTTGAGTTTTGGACCACCTTTATTTTGATTAAAATATATTTGAATTTGGATTCGATCAATCACAGTTTTGTTTTATACACAAATTCAATAAGCTTGTCCTCTCTGAGTTCATTCAAGCTGTTGATAAAATTGTTCATTAGATCTGGGCCAAGCCCTCCATTAGGCAAATAGAATATTATCAAATCATTCAGCATTTAACCAAGTTTATTAGGCACATCTCCCAACTAGGTAGGGCCTGATGTTTTAAGTTTATTGTGGTCTAAAGGCACAGAAAGGCACACAGACAAGTTTAAAAAATTGGAAGAGATACATAATGACTATCGTTTTAATATCTCCCCCTCAACATCCCACTCCCAATCACTGTTCCAATCACACCAGACTACGGTGCTTCCTCAGACTCCTTATCCTCTCCCACACCTCTGCAAACGCAGAGAGGCTGCTCTTTTTCTTGGAATTCCTTTCTTCTTCTCTTCACCTTCTTTTGCTTTATGTGAGGCCTTCCTCCTCTCTTCCCTTTAGCATCCATCAGATGTGGCCCACCATGTTGCATGCTTGTCTCTACCATCCCGCTGCTCACAGGAGACCGTGACTTTTCCTTCTCGGCACCATCACTAGACGCGAGTTCCATGAAAACAAGAACTCATGCCATGGTCCTGAATCTTTCCAGCCGAGACGAGCATGTGGCCCATGAGGGTGTATCAGAAGCATTTGTTGAATGAATAGAAACAAATTGCTCTGATGGAGATGTGTGCTTTGTGTTTATGGACAGGTATATTTGACTGCCTGTGGCAACCAAAAAATCTTTGACCAAACAGTGTTGAAACGAAGACTTGAAGGATGGGTTTTCTAGGCAGAACTATGGGGAGAGGATTTCTTGGAGGGAAAAAAACAAAGATGTGCTAATGCGTGGGGGGCTCTAAAAAGCATGACAAGAGTTAAGAAATGCCAGATCAGGACATGGAGGACCTTCGGGTGCCCAGATGGACACAGAGGGGTCGGCTAGGACTCAGCCACAGCAGCAAAATCCATTCTTGGGCAGGGTCCTTTCACTCCAAATTTAATGCATCATGCATTTTTCCATTTTAATGAAGAACTAAGTGATAGGCAGAGCTGTCCAATGCCTTGCTGAAACCCAAATGTGCTGGTGGACTTGCCAGTAAAAAGCAAGGGTGTAAAATGCCTTTGACAAAACTCATTCTTGGTGAACCTGTGTTGGTATGCAGTAATCACGAATTCCCTTTCCATTCTGTTTAAGAGTCTGTTTTAGTTTTTACTTTTCCAAACTTGACAATAAGTTTAGTTCTTTACAGTTTACAGAACTGGCTTTCTCTGCCATTTTTGAAAATCAAGGCATCTGCCTGCCTTCTGTTTTCTGGTATCTTCGTTCACTAGATTCCTGAATATAACCCATAACAATTCTGAGATCACATGTTTAATTCAGGCAGGGAAACAATTTTCCCAAGGCAGGAGACTTGAAGTACACAATTTTGCTTTGGGTTTCTCTATTCAATGTCAAATAATTTAAGATGAACAAGCATGATGAAGGGGACATTTAAATTTAAGGTTTCACGTTGGTTCAAACTTGTGAGGTGGACATGGGGCGAGAAGACCACACCAGCAGGAAAGCTTAGCAGTTCTGAATCCTCTGTCACCTGTTATCACTTATTATCTGCTCCAGGCTTGGTCCTATAATTTCAGTGTTTTTCTTGCTCTGTAAATATCTAGAAAAGTCTGTTTTCTTGTCTCTAGAGCTTTGGGACAAATTTATCTCAGTTCTGAGCTGTTTTCCCAGTGTTCTTTCTCTGTTTGTACAATTGCCCTGCCTGCACCTTTCAGATTCAGCTTTTGCAAGTCCTACAGTTGGCAGTTTGCAGAGTTTGGGGCTAACCTGAGGTCTTTATGGTATAACTGAAGCGGTACATTTTCCAATTTGCCCCTCAGACTCACCAAATGCTTTGCTTCTTCCCTTCCATCCTGGTCTTCAGCCCCAATCCTGACCACCCCTGCCTGAGGCATAAGCCCGTAGACCCTTACCTGAGAAGTGTGTGAGGACAATGACATAGTTCTCCACATCACCGGCTGGAGCCTTCCACTGCAGCAGGGCTTCCGTGGGGGTGATGTTGGTAGCGATCAGATCCACAGGGTTATCCATGGCTGGAACGGAACAGGAGCGGTCAGTACAGGTAAGAAAGCTGCAGGATGAAGTTCAACCCAGCCCAGAAGTTCCGCCTGCCCCTGACGCAGTCTGCTGCTGTGTTGAGCCAGGGTGAAGTGAGCAGAGCCCTCTTTCCCTTCTCTCTTCTGGCTCCAACAGCTCCTTCTCGTCTCCTTTCCTCCTTGCTCTCAAGTACGCAGTCCCGTGTGCAGCCCCCTCCTCCATTGCCCCGAGCTCTCCTTTCTAATTCATCCATTAATTTCCTAAGTGGAGAACAATGTGGCGGGTGCTATGGGGAATTTCAATGTATCCTTGTTGTGTTTTAGACATTTAAATCTAGATGCAGAAACTCAGAACCTACAGAAATTGTTATAATTCTCTAATTAATGAGGTAATCATTCTTCCAGGTCTAATTGCTCTTTCATTGACATTAGGTTGTGCCTTGTGGAAAGATCTCTGATGCACTTCAGGAAGTGTGGTGGAAGTGCAGGGGTGTCTCCAGCTCTGAAACTTCAAAGGTCCTCAGGGAGTGCTTGCGGATGACTGCATGGGATACGGGAGCCTCCAAAGTCATATCTGATTATTGAATTCCTGCTCACTGCTCCCAAGGCTCACTCTGGACTGATCCAGGGCAGGCTTTTGTGGCACTGAGAGCCAAAGGGATTCTTGCAGCCTTCGGGAGGCCAAGTGCCTGTGGGGGCACAGAGATGTCACATGATCACCTGTCTGTTCTTACTTGCCCAGGCTGTATAAGCCTTTGCCTTATTACTTTGCTTCCCTTCCATCAAGTTGGATAAAATTGGGATTTATTTTAGAAATGGATGTTATTAAAACAGTTAAGGTATTGGCTCAACCTAAAGGTCATACAATTTATTTGGGGAGCCAAGATCCGCTCCTCATCTACCTCTGCTTTCTAATTGAATAATTTTTTTCCTTCCTTATGTCTCTCATCACAGAGCAACAACCAGGAAAATTTTTTATGATTTAAAAATTTGAATTTTATCTATACTTGGTGGTTTCCAAGAGTTTTTCCAATGCAGCCCTTATTAGACCTCAGTTGGCTTGATTTCTGAGATGTGTATGACACCATGAGACAAGTACCACTCCCTGCAGGAGTGCTTATTTCTAGAAGACGTAAGCTCATAGACCTCAAGTTAAAACAGCGACAACAAACAACCATGAACCAGGACACTTCTGAGCATAGTCAAGTTCCTGGCAGTTGCCAAAATAACTCTGCCTGACCTTGAAGGAGGGTGGCTTGGCCTGGTGTACCACTGCGTATCTGCTTTAGAAATACTTAAAGCTTATGGCTAAGAATTTAAGAAGATTTTTGACTCAAGCTCCTGCTCTCTTTTACCTTGAGGGTAGGATGTTCTTGAAATCCATTGTTTTCAATGAGAAAAAGTTGGATTTTTGTAACATAATTTTCAGGAAGGTGGGAAGGGGGCTTCTTTTGACTCATTGGATGTTATTTCTGGTCAACATTTATTGACCAGATACTTCAATGATTCAGGGTAAGATGGAAGTAAAAAATATGGCTAGGTTTTCGGTAGTCAGACCTGCAAGGAGACTAAGAAAGAGTAGAATATTCTGTGCTATCTTGTGATGGTGAACAATTTTTCACATTTGTGAAATCGTGTGTGTGTGTGTGTGTGTAAGTGTAACTATTGCCAAAAAAAGAGATGCTGTTTCTGAGCTTGAAAAAGCAGTGAGGAATTCCAAGGCACATTTGCCTCATTCAGGAAATACCATTCTCAAGGGGAATGAAGCACCCTCGGGAAACCCAGGTGTTCCCGTAAAGAGGCCATCTGCATGTTTTCCTCTGTGCTCTGGCTTAACTAGGAGGTGGTCTGGAAGAAAAAGTGGGCTGTGCCTTCTAGTGACTTCCACAGCTAACCTTTGCTGATTCTGCATAGTCCACGGTCAGGGGGGCCAGAGAGGGAGGGGCAGAGGAGCTGCCTAAGGGGCCTTGCCTTCAGGCTCATCCAATGGGCTCATTTTTTAGGAGGAAGACTGGGATTGGGACTTCCCTTGGCCACTTTCCCGTGTGGCAAGCTGGTGGCTCCCTTCTGCCTCCCATCCTGGAGCTCATTACTCAGGAGCTGACTGGGGGGCAGGAGGCACCTGGGTCTAATGGGAGGACTTGATTGAGAACTCGGGCTACAGAGTGCCCCTGCAGGTGGCCCAGGATGCCACGTGGAGCTGTGTCACCTCCACTGCCTTCACCACGGGTGAGGGGCTCATGGCCGCTGGTGCCAGCTCCTCTCAGGAGCAAAAGGCATGAGCAAAGGCAGCTACTTGGTGTCTTCTGGCCATACATGATGAAGAACCTCATGACCCCAGCTTCCTGTCACTGGAGTGACAACTGTTTTCTTCTCTCAGGTGAGATTTCCTTCCCTGAGTCTTTTAAAAAGTAAGATGGGATAATTGACTTGTCTGTTCTGGAATTCACCTGCATCGTGTGTCCTTGAGCAGCCATTATTCATATTGGAAGTTCCATGAAAGTTCCTCATCTCAACCAATAAGACACCAACAGGGAGACTCTAGATTCTATTACTAGACAAGACCATCAGTGGGGAGAGAAGTCGCAAACTGTCCCTCCTGGCACAGGGAGGAGGCCTGAGAATGGCACCTCAGAGCCCAGAACTAAGGTTCTTGGTGTGAGCTCACACGACTTTGCTCTTGGGCTCCTAAGTCCATGGCGGGTCCACTGCCATCAGGGGGACGTGCCTACCTGTGTGCACCAGAGTGCAGATGCGCTCGCTCTCCTCCCTGCCCCGCACACTGTTGAGGCTGATTTCATATTCAGTGGCTGGGTGCAGCCTGGAGATGGTGAATTCTGTCACTGTGTTGGGCACCACTGAGCTGTCCAGCCGTCCTACTAAGGAAGAGCAGAATCCACCATTAAAACCTTGCTGCTTCCTCATCAATGTGATCAGGGGTGCGGTCTACATGGGGCACTGGGTCATGAAGCACAGATGGATTTGGGACCCAGCACTGGATGTGAGGAGGGGGAAACGAGTGGTTTATGGGCTGGAAATGTTGAAGCTCAGAGAGGACTTGCATGCTTGTCCCATCCCTTCATTTTATGGGCTTCTTGGAACAAAGAGAAATGAGCTATTTATTGGGTGGTTTTCTAACAGCCCAGTTTTCTTTGAGTCAATTACATTGAATCAGTTTAGAGTGCGTAGCTGTAAAGAGTGGTCTGCGCAGCCCAGAGACAGGCTAGCCTGGAAAGCTGTCCTGCCCCCAACAGGAAGTGGGCACACCCCACCTCATCACCAGTGCCTTGTGCACCAACAAGGAATGCCAGGGTGCAGGCCAGGCTGGGCCAACTTCCCCTGACTCAAAATGTGGCTAGAGCAGCAGGACGAGGACCACATCACAGCTGCTCTGGCTTTGCTGAGTCTTCAGCTATTCTTGAGATTCTAGTCTTGGGCTTTACCCTCTCTGGGAAGTGCATGGTCCTGGCACTCAGCAGATTCTGTTAGGAGCTCTTTTATCTCATTGCAGAATCTAGATACTGGTGACCAGCTTCCTCTGCTGGTGAAGGGCCCGATGTCTGGGTGACTGTACTCACTCCTATTTTGAGAGGAGTTGGTAAGCACAGGGGTTTCTGGGCTGCTCCTCATGGACACATTCTCATTTTGAGGGAGCATGCCACAGGAGGGGGAAGAACACAGGCAGGGCTTAATGTCCATTGGGATACAATACTTTCCCCATAATAATTTCCACCCAGCTCCAACCCCATTAATCTTTGAGAAATCAAATTACTTGAATACCTTGGGTGGGTCGATATGACACTCGGTAGTAATCAAAAGATGCAACAGGAGGGCTCCAGGACACCATCACTGAGTCCTTGGTCACGTTGCTAATCGTGATGTCTTTGGGAGGGTCAATTCCTACAAAGTCCCAGGTGATGGTGGGAAAAAGACAAGACAACATGATGTGAAAAAGGAATTTCTGTTCCTAGTTTTATGTTGACCAAGAGCTGATGTGCCCCAGAGGTAGACAAAACACTGGGATATAATGGGGCAGCCTGGATACCATGGTCAGGCTGATGTTTCACCTGAAACCCATAAGATGTGGTCAAAATGGTGCTCATGGAGAAGGTTTAAACAACACCAAGCCAAGGTGGCAAGGTCCGCACCTGTGCAGCAAATACGATTCATCTAAAGGCCAACCAGAACTTTCTTTTAACTCCACATCATTTGTTTTGAATTTAGAATAACACAGTTATTTTCTCTGGGGTAAACTTCTCTTGGAAAAAACCTAACTTGCTCTTATCTGTTATTTTTTAGCAGCCACCTTAGGTTCTATTTGGAAAAACTTCCTATTGACTATAAAGTGATTTTGGAGCACAAGTCCAGAACAAATCCACTTTCCTAAATTGTATTTCATTTATGCTGGGTACTTTTATTTTTTTGACTGCTAAGAAATTGCAAGGTCAAATCAGCTGAGTGTTTAACCCACTCGTCCAGTTTGTGAGTTCTTGTCAGTAATGTAGGAAACTACCAGAACACACACCTTCTTACCCATGAACACCTCATATTTGGAATTGCATTTGGGAATGATGAGGTGGACACGATCCAGATGGTCTCAGTGTGCCTGTGTTCCCAAACAATGTGTGAGTCCACCTGAGTGTCAGGACAGCCCTGCATGATTTCATGTCCCTTCTGTGTGATTTTGAGGAAGCATCATCTGCACCAGTGGCCTTGTTGGGAAGTTGAGAGGTGGCTCTCCCAACCAGGAACAGATGTCTCTTCACTGTCGAGGTTCCTTGGGGGAGATTAGCTTTCTCCAGGGCTTTCTACTGGAGAGGTAGATCCTGTAGACCAATGCATTCAAGCCTTGACCTCCTCAGGACATTGTGTCTATCCTACCCTCCAAACAGGAGCTTCCTATCTTATAATCTAATGCAAGACTGGAAGAAGTAACAGGATGGCTCACTGACCTTCTTTAGCTGTAGAGGCCAACCCTGCCACCTTTTGAAATTTTATTGAATTTCACCCACTGCTGCCCAGTCTTTCAGCCTCACCTGTGGTGATGGAGCCCACGATGGGCTCTGAGGTCACTGTGCCATGGACAGCCACCAGGTTCACGATATACTCGGTGGCTGGCTGCAGACCCTTCAGGACAGCGTGTCTCTTGGTGGCATCCAAGGAGACCTCCATCATCTCTTCCTCTTCATCCCGGGGGCTGTAGTTCAAAATGAGTCTGTCTGCTGGGGGAGACGGGTCACTCCAGGTGATGTTGACACTGGAGGAGGTCACATGAGAAAAGTGCAAGTGGGAGATGGGGCGGAAGCCTGCAAAACACAGAAGGTGGATGGTTCTGAAACACACATGAGGTGGGCACCGTTGGGTCAGAAGAGCCACTTGACTGCAAGGATCTGCTCCTGTCCTTCCTCAGGGCTCCACTTCCCCACACTCCAGTGCTGTCCACCCTTCCTTTCCCAAACTGTACACTGAAGAGTTAGTTCAGATAAGAACCAGAAAACTCTTTGGTACTGGTCCAGGACTTGAACTCCATCCTGGAAGGGACTTAATGTGATCCATGGGTCCTCAGAGTGCCCACTGACTGAGTGTGGTCAGGGAAAGATGGAGAGGATCAGCTCTTTGTCCAGGCTCATAGGAAACAGACACCAATTTCCAGGCATGTGGCATCCCTGCCCCCCCCCTCCCCTTTACTCCTAACCATCCTCTCTTGACATACTTGTTTATTTTTCCTCCATGTCTTCTTTTTCAACCCATCTCTCTTTCTCTGAAGGCAATGGGGCTTTGGAAGGGTGGACAGCTTGGAGGACCTTCTTGCCACTAAGATGCACAGATCCCTGAACCTGGCTGGGACTTCTGCTGCCCTGGTACCTGTGAAGGCGTCCACAGTGGACTCCAAGCTCTGCTGCCGACCCCTCTCCGCGGTGATGGAAATGATGTACTCTGCCCCAGGCTCCAGATCTGTCAGTGTATACGAGGTTCTGTCCTTGGGCACAGTGACTTCAGAGGCAATCCCAGAGGATGGGGTAAAGGTAATTCGGTAGTGGTCAATGGGGCCACTGGCCTTGGTCCAGATGAGGGAGATGGAGGTCTCTGAGGAGGCTGTCACCATGAGGTCTCGGGGACTGTCCAGTTCTGTGGATCAACATAAGTGGCTTATTTTATACAGGTTCCTCAGGATGACCAGTCTTCCCTGGACTACCCTGTGTTTCCCAGCTATCAGCAGGCCTGCTGACCATGAGCCTTAGCTTGTCATTGCTGATACTTGTCTCACATTTTGTTAAGCAGTTTCTTTTTGAAAGATGGCCAGTGTCTTGGCAAAGAGATAGATAATCTGTAGAAAGGCAATATTAGCTCCAACGCCACTGGAATACATCCACCTCTGGGACAAAGCTGGCTGCTGTTTTTTAAGTTCTTCATATTAATTTTCACTCTGCCTTTCTCAGTAGGCCAACCCTGACGGCCTCTCAGCAGGCCAACAGGAGCCGCTGCCCAGTAGGGGTACCCATTCCTGGCAGTGGTAGCTTCCCTGGCTCTCCCATTTGTCCCTGAGTCACTTTGACTTGGCTAACAGGTGGCCAGATCTGAGCACTCCTGGAGAGCCTTGTCGTTGGGCTTCGGCAGTGAGGTTGTCTGTGCTACACTGAACCTCGGGAACAGGGATTGGTCCCAAATCCCCAGCCCAGTCCTGCCCGGGCTGTTTTGTATCTAAGCTCCTGGAGTAACTCTGAGATTTCTTCAGGATTTAGAAGCAAAACTTCTGGCTGCAGAGCAGCAAGGGTCTCTAGTGGATTTTTCTACTACCTTTGAATTTTATAGGTTATTTCCAAGTTAGACCTCTATGACAGTGACCTCTTGGAGGGATGGTTTTTTTTTGATGCAGACTGCAGATGCCCTGTTCTGCCTGCTGTGGGTGTTCTAGACAGAAATGGAGCTGCAGTGGCCCCTACCTACCTGGGGTTTTCCACCTTGGCTCTGCACTGCTTGGGGCAGCCCTTTAGGTCTGGAGGACCAAGCACAGGTCCATGATGGGGAGAGTGGGACTCTATCTTGCATGTCTGATGTTAGAATTGGACATCCAGTGGCTGTTGTCACTAGGTTGATAACTGTCACCAGGGCCCTGTTCTCGGGGGCCCGGAGATGCCTCCTCTCCATGGCTCTACAGGCTTGCAGGGCTGCCTAGCCTCCCTCAGCACCACCCTCCTACTCACCTGTCCTGGCATTCATGGTGGCCGGCACGCTTTGTTGGGAGTTCATGACGGCAGATATTCCAACTCCATACTCGGTGCCAGGTATCAGATCTGTCAGCAGAGGCACAAGCAAACATTAGTGTGCGTGTGTTGGGGGTAGGGTGTGGGAAGGTTGGAGCGAAGGAAGATGAGCTCAGGCTCCTGTTCAGATCTCACCTTTCGTCCTCCTTGAGTCTGCTCCTAATTTTACCTAGTAAATCTCATTTCACTGCTCAGGAAATCCGTCCCAGCCAACAGAATGAACCGGCCAGTGCAAAGCTTCCATCTTGCTGCTGGTCTTGGACAGGCAATGAGGCTGCTCTTGTCAGTGGCCTCCAGAGGTATGGTCATCTCTAGAAGGTCTCCTTCTGTACTTAGTTAGAGTCTCAAGTTGGCTAGAACTCGTGAAGGGGTTTCTTGCTTAAATCATAAACTGGGGGAGAGTAGGCTCCCCCCAACATCAGCAATGCAGCAATGCAGGCCCAAAGTGCTTAACACTATGGATCCCACTTTAGAGCCACTTCTGGTAACTCCTGGAGGTGACGGAAATGCCAGAACTGTCTGACCACAGGGTGTGTACCTCTCAGGGCATCCTTCTGGGCTTTGTTATTAAGGATTGTGGCCGAGTTCCCAGAATTCTCTGGGGTCTCTTCCTACCCTCTGGCACATTCATTTTCAGACCATCTTGTTTGACTGGTGTATTAGTTTTTTACTGAGTAATTACCACAACTTCACACATTTATGATCTCCTGGTCCAGGAGAGCTGAAGACCCACAGGGTTCAGCAGGGCTGCGCTCCTCCTGGGGGCTCGTGGGAGGAGCCACTTGTCTGCCTATCTCAGTTTCAAGAGGCTGTCTGCATTCCTTGGCTCACGGCCCCCTGATCCTTCATCAAGCCCAGCAGCTTAGCATTATCGCCTCTCTCCCTCTCTCTCTCTCTCTCTCTCTCTCTCTGATCTCAGTTTCCACTGTCACATCTGCTCTGACTCCAACCTCCCTGCATCCATCTGGTCAGTACAGGAAAACCTGCCCGTCTCAAGATCTTTAATTCACCACCTCCACAAAGCCCTTCTTGCCATGTAAGATGACATGTTCATAAGTGCTTGGGATTAGAACGTGGACATCTTGCGACCATTATTCCATCTATCACCACAGGGGTCAGACTCATTTCCATTTATCATGACTGTGATTGTACAAAAATGCAACAAATCAAATGATCACCCCTGGAATCTCCAAGGGTCATTCCGAGTCCTGCTAAGCTCTTTGTGGGACTTGTGTGGGCTCTCCAGAACCATGGATTATTATAATGCTATCCTGCACTTATATAACACAATTCATGCTTTTCAGAATTGAATGTGTCCTGGAGCCTCGCCACCTCCTTGAGAGGGAGGTGGGAGGGCTGTGCTTTCTCCATCTATATTAGTTTCCTGAGGCTCTTGTTATAAATTCCTGCAAACAGGTTACTTAAAACTACAGAAAGTTCTGGAAGTGTGAAGTCAAGGGTCAGCAGGGCCGTGCTCCCTCTGAAGGCTCTGTGGCCTCTCTCTGGCAATGCATTCTTTGGAGGACCTCTGAATACCGCACCCTCCGCCTCTGGGTCCCATGGCATTCTCTGTGTGTGCGTGTGTGTGTGTGTGTGTGTGTGTGTGTGTGACTTCTCCTCTGACAAGAACACCAATATCATGGGGTTTAGGGCCTGCACTAATCCAGTATGACTTCATGTTAACTAGATTACGTCTCCAGAGGCATGTTTCCAAATGAGGTCACATCTCCAGGTTCTGGTGGACATGCATTTTCAGAGAATGGTATTCAACTCAATATACCTTTTTTTTATAAAAAGAAATTGAGGCACAGAAGAAGTCTATGATAAGCTGGAAACCATGACTCCCAGACTTTTTGGCCTGAGAGTGCAGGGCTTTCAGGAGAATTGAGAAGCACTCCTCCACTCCCACCATCTTCTGCTGCCAGACTCACTGGATTCCCAGGGCAGCTGTGACCGCCCTGAGATTTCTGAGGTCAGTCCAATTTGATAGGGGATGCTTTGAGCAATCCTCCTTTAACAAATGGGCTTGGTTTAGTCAAGGGGAAGGCTGCATGGTAACCAGACCCCTCCAACAACAGCTTTGGTACAGGCTACACTCTACACACCTCCATGGTGCGTGTGGAAGAAACTACCTGGTGGTATTGGCCACGTTCCCTGGAAGGAATGGAAAGAATGCAGTCTGGAAGGCATTAGGATCAACTTCTGAACCAGCTAGACCACTTTCCTAACCCTTAGTTCTTTCTTTCTCTAATATGTCAGGTGTGTCTCTAAAGTGGAGGTCAAGTTGAATTCTGACACACTGTTTTTATATGGAGGTCTGCCACCTTCCACAGGGTACAGCTGAATTCTTGCCACCTTAAGGTCTCAACTTCTGTAGAATGGGAATAATACCAAGATCCATCTGTGTGAGGATTAAGCACCTGGCCCATAGTGACAGTAGCCAGTGTTATTATTACCTAGCAAAGAAAACTACTCCAGGATTTTGAGTCCTTTGGGGTAGGTGGTCTTGAGAGCTATATAAAGTACCCTAGGCAGGCACAGGGGGGTCCTTGGTACACCTGTAGTTGTTGGGTCGCTCAGGCTTAACCTGTTGACTCTGTCGGGAACCAGAGATTCAGAGCCAAGGGGTCAGTGTGGAGCTTGCCCTGGCTCAGGACGCACCTGTCTCTAGATGGAGCAGGGACTGCAACACCCCGGGTCCTTTCAAAGCCCACATTTACTTCTGTCAATAGGTTCAGTGAGTCCCAGGTACATCCTTGGTTGGAGAAATTAGATCACCTTTGGGACATAAACTACTCTTCTCAGGCAACTGATTGAGACCTTCAATTGCCTATAACGAAGTAGAAATTCTCCGCGGTAGATGAAGGGTGACAGATTGAGGGAGAAAGACAGAAATTATATGTTGCCAAACGGATCTAACATGCAACGTTTCCATCCGAGTTTCTTATTTATGAAGCTTAAATGAAATGTTCAATAATTCACAACCGAATCGTCTTCTCCCAGAAGATGGCAGAGCAGAACTGGAAGCACTCCCTCCCAGGTCTCCTGCCTCGGGAAGGGGGAATGGGACTCGCTTCTAGGTTTGTGCCTGTTGCCTGCCTCTGATTGTTCGCAGCTTTCTTCCTGCGCTATCACTGAATTGTTGCTCTTTGCCGGCAAGTAAGACGCAGTTCTGCTGGAAAAGACAATGTGTACGGGAGACAGACCCAGGACACCTCCATCAGCGCTCCCAGGACCCCTAGGGATTTCTTACTTTAAAGACCCCTTAGCTCTCCACCAACGCCTCCTTTACCTTTCCATCCATCTCCTGCAAGTGGCAGCACATAGATGGTCTGTTCTCTTTCTCAACCAAACCTCAGAAAATTTATCTCATGGGAAGCCACTGTGCTCCATCCCCTATAGGCTTTCCCGTGTTCCGGCTGGAGGTCGACATGTTCCCAACTCTCCCCACGCACCTTCCTGTGCTTCTCTGAACCCCTCGAGCATACAGGTCATCTGCTTGACAAATATTATTGAGGTCATCCTTTGTGGCAGGCACAAGGCTGTGGGCTGGGGATACCAGCAAGCTGAATGGTCACTGCCCTTGCCCTTCCGGGAATCAAAAGAATCTGAACTGAAAAAGCAAATTAATTATTTACTGAGCACCCATGAGAGGCCAAGCACTGAGCGACATGCAAAAGGTGATCTACGAGTATAACGAAGAAGAAAGGGAGGGAGGGAAGAAGGGGTGAAAAATGAAGAGGCTTTGGGTCTCTGATGGCAACAAACACGGCTGCAATTGCAACTTCTTGGAGATCACACACGTCACCTTATTTGATTCTCCTGTGGCTCTGCTGGGAGGACTCTGCTCATGAGAAAGGGGCTCTGAAAAGCCCATTCCTGATTAAGATCACCAAGCTGGTGTTGGGAAAAGCCAGGTTTAGAACCCAAGTCCCTTGTTCTTTCTGGTCCCTGTCCCTAAGAGTGCTATAGGTTGGCAGTGGGGACTAGACAAAGTGACTTGGAATTCGAGAGTGATGGGGTACCACACTGTGGGCTGCTAAGAGCCACTGCAGAGGGGGTATGGGATCAGTACAGGCTGGAGTCCAAGAATGGACTTGAGTTGGGCCGGAAAGCTAGGTGAAGGAAGGAAAAAGAGTTCTCTGGGGGTCAGAATGGGGCAGGGTCAGCAGTAATAGGTGAATTAGGGCTGAGAGCAGCGAGAGGAGCAAAGCTCACCTGCACGGCAAGGGCTATGGTGACATACAGGCAGAACAGCTCCCCTCCTGTTTAGGAAGCCTCCTCGCACACTTGCTGCTGCTAGTGGGGAAAACAGGGTGGTTCCGGGGCAAGGAGGGGTCACTGCTGTCTCTTGCTCAGCGAAAGCATGAGTGAGGTGCTTGTGGACCGCAGCCTTGGTTGGGCTCAGGTGAGCATGAAGAAATATGAACCCTTCCATCTCCCAAATCCCTGGGCCGAAGCTCAAGTCCCCTCTCTGGGGACAGGGATTGAGTTGGCCCTAGCACACTGGATTCCTGCCTACACAAGCGGGTCAAACTGAGAACCCTGTCCCAAAGGAGTTTGCAGTTGATTTATTAGTTTCAATAGCAATCATGTTTTCAGTGGTTATTGTTAGTTTTCATGTCTGTCTCTTTACTGTAATCTTAGGTCTTTAAGATAAAGGATCTCATTTTTTTTCAGCATGCAGTATAGTGGAAGAATATATATGAAGCAGAAGTAGCATAGTGCCCTTGGTGGTAGGGAGATTTCCAAGAGGGGATGTCTGCACTGGGTTTTGAAGGGTCTTGTGCCCAGTTGGCTGGGGAGGGCATTCTAGGCAGAGAGAACAGCATGTGCCAGAGTAGATCTATTAAAATTATTCATGGACCTAATATCAGACCCCACCACAGGCAAATTTCCCACTGGTGTAATTTGGAAAAACTAGAGATTTCAAAGATGGAGAGATACTTGAAGACAGGGGGTCTTCTGACGGCCCCTGAAACCTCACCAGGTAGGCCAGGCTCTACTTGTTGGTTAAATGGAGAGCTAAGCCCCCAAGGTTCTTGCATAAGAAGGTGTTTCTGCAGGTCTCCCCAGATGAGGCAGACTTTTGAGGATATCCCTTGCTCTTTGGGGTATAAATGATGTTCAAGTATCAAGAGGAGTTGTCCACTCCATCCTGATTCTAAACCCATACGTGCAAAGAAGAATAGCAATAACGCGCATTCTCAGAGGGAACTTTCTTGTTGCCAGTGAAATTAATGAGGATCATGGCTCATCAGCCCCATCCTGCAGGCACACCCCATTTCTATAAACAAGGGCTTTCTCTAAACAAGTGCTCCTTACTGAAGAAGCCAAAGCAGAAGCTGAGACATCCCTGGCTGATTTTTCTCCTGGGCCCCTTTCCCAAGGCTGTTAACACTAGAAGGGACAGGCTTCCCGTGTCCCAACTCCATGAGGAGGTGTGTGGACGCCTTCCTCTTCTGCTTGGGTCTCTGCAGCCCACTCCCACTGTCCTGCCCTCGAAGCCCCAGAAACGACCTTGTGTTTAGAGGGTGCCTCACCAAAGTGACCACTTGGGGTCACTGTGACCTCACCCAGAGGTGGCTGAACACATTCTGGCCCTGGTCTCAGGCCCAGCACCCTGACCCCTCTCAGGAGAGCCCACAGGGCACTGAGGGCCTGGTGCTGATGTGGTATTTGTGCGCCACCATGAGGAAGTGCAGACAGGGTGCAGTGGAGCCCGAGGGCCTGGCTGGCAAGGGGACGGGAGTTCCTTGAAGAAGATCCTCCCATGGACAAGCATGGTCTCCTGCCTCTGCACCTTGAGGACCTCACCATGTCACCACCACCCCACCAGGGCCTGAGTGAAAACATGGAGAGTGATACACCTACCGGGATGTGGGCCTGCACCCACATCCCCTGGCAACCAGAGGCCTGGAAGGTGGCAGAACACATCACCTGATAAAGACACGCTTGCACACACCAGCATGCACGTGTGCACAAGGCATGTGATTGCATGTGTGTGTGCATGGTACATGTGTGTGGGTGTGAGTGCAGGTAGGGTGTGAGTGCAGCTGTGCCTGTGCCTTTGTGATTTGTGTATTTGAGAATGTGTGTGTGAGTGGTTGTGTGAATGTGCGTGTGTCTGTGTACGTGTGAGTGAGTGTGTCACATGTGGCTGGCCCTAAGTCTTCTTTCCTTGCAGTCCTGTGTTGTACTGTGATGTCTAAAGGGACTGAGGCCCTGGGTTTCTGAGCCTGTTGGTGGCTTTTCCAATGAGCCGCTTGCTGGCTGGTCAGGTGGCTGTTGGCAAGGCCCTTGAGAGGGCTTACAGGCCAGTTCATATCTCCTTTGTTCCCTTGGTCCTGGGGACCCTCAAGGGTGGACTCTGTGCATGAGGGAGGTCTGGGGAGAGAGCACAGGTGGCCGAGGGCATACTCCTCTGCCTTCCAGGTAAACGTGATAGCCACACATGCCTCTCTGATGACCCAACAGAGGAGTCATGGCAGGTGCAGTAACCAGAGTAGTGTTGACAACTTGTACTAGTCCCAGGCAGAGAGGCTGCCTCCTGACCACCTTTCAGCCAGGGGCCCAGATCTCCCTTTCTTGGCTGGGTTTCTATCCCCTTCCTCTGTCCACTAGGAGTCTTCCGTGATGGCTGATTGTCTTTTGCTGCTACCCAGGCATCTGAGTGGTGTCCACAGTCCCCATGTCAAGTTCTAACCTGGAGGTGCCGTGAGGAACACTCAGGGACTCTTTGGGACTCCAGGTGTGGTACACCAAACCACCTAAGAGGCTGAGCCAAAAACGGACTCATCATTAAGACAAGAAGCCATCAGAGCCGGGGACTAAGGCATTGCATAGTGGGGAGAACAATGGTGTAGTCTTCTGCTCTGTTGGGAGTCTGTTGTTCAGAAACAAGTTCATACTCCAAAGGGAACTGCTCAGAGAATGATGGGGAAGATGTCTGGTGCTGCGCCCAGCTGGGCTCCGTGTGGCAAAGGGCAAGGTCTGCGAAGGGGGATTGGGTGGGCTGTGCTGCTGCAGCCCTTGGAATGACTCAGAGCCCACAGAGTTGGGGAAGGCCCGGATCCCACAGCAAAGGGCCAATGTGGGCCTCAGAGACAAGGCCTCTGCAATCCAAGGGCCATTGGTGGTATTTTGTGGGAATAAAGGGGGCTGTGTGTGTGCCCAGAGGTGACCAGGCTGTCATGGGTCCCCGGCTGAGCTCTGTGGAGGAGAAGAACAGTACAAACTTCCCAATGGCCTCTGACGCTCAGTGTTAGCAGCTCTTCCCTGAACTCCCTACACACTTGACCTCATGGAAGATTCATGGTGACCCTGGGAGGTGAGTGGTGGCAGCCCTGCTTTACAGAGGGAGAAACACAGGCTGAGAGGTCTTGCTGGTGGCTCAAATCACCCGCAGGAAGGGGTGAGCTTGGATTTAAGTCCAAAGGCTGGGCTCCAAATGTGTCACCGGGCCCAGGGTCTCCGGAGACCTTGGAGGCTGCAAAGATTTCCTCTTTAGGGTACAAGCAGGGCTGGAGGGAGAAAGCTCTGTCACTTGGAGCTCAGATCACACTGTTCCCTCCCCTCTTTCTTCTCGGGGCCCTTCCTTTTCTTCCTTCGGATACTGCTGCAAGAGAGCAAGTGATCTTCATAGCTGGAGTCTCAACCAGTAGCATGTCCTTGACTTGGTTTCCTTACATACCTCTAATCCTTCCTTAAATCACATGAAAACATTTGCCTTCATAAATCTCCTCAGCTTGTGAGCTCCCTGAGACAATCGTGTGACATTGTGTGTGTGTGTGTGTGTGTGTGTGTGATTTTTTCACCAGCCCTACTGTAGCACAACGTACTAACCTATCTAAACCCACTACTCAGTAATAATTTCACCATCCCTTGTAGCCTGTGGAATTTCAATCTGGACTGTCCCTTACATTTGGCTTCATTTGTGGGAAGCAGCAGCGGTGGGAGGAGAACCTCCGGACCAGGACTCAGGAACCGAGTCCACTCACAGACCAGTCCAATCACAGCTGCGGACTTGCTAGCTCTGTGAACCTGGCAAGTGTCCAGATTCCCAGGGCCTCCGTTTCCTCATCTAGAAAGTGGGGTTGCTAACAGGACTATCTCATGAGGTTTCTGTCAAGATGAAAAGAAGCTCTAACTGAGGCAAGGGGGTCTGGGATTTCAGCTCAGGAGGAAAGCAGCTTTGATTGTGCCGCCCTGGTTTGCGGTCCACTCTTTGCTGGGTAACTTTTGACTAGGAAGATGGCAGACGCTTCTGCAGGAAGCCAAGACCAGTCAAACAGACTGTCTGGGAGCCCTCGGGCAGCCTGGGCCAGGACCGCTCAGCATTGCCTTCATCAGGACCCAGGCCCTGCGTTTGCAGTCGCCCTCCCTGGGCAAGGTCTGGCAGCAGGCTCTCTTGGATGGGTGTGCTGAAGGGCCCAACAGGAGTCAGCACTGTTCTGCAGCCAGGTGTGGTGGGCAGTGGGCACTGCCTTAGTCCACACCACCACTTCTCTGTTTAACCCCAGCAATGGCCTGCTGACCAGCCTCTGCCCTTGACCTTCTCTGCATACCACAGCAATCACATCACCTCATTTAAAACTCCCTCAGTGGCTCCTCATTGCCCTCTAGAATAAACCCCCAGGTTTTTACAGGGAACACAAGGACGACCAGGCTCTCACCCTGTCACTGGCCTCTCACACTCTATGTCCCAATCAGAGTGGACTTTTGCATCTTCATTCACTCATCCCTTCAAGAAACACTGCTCTAGGACCTAGAATATTCTAGATACCGTAATGGACTGTGGGGATTCAGTGATGAGAAAAGAAAAAACATGGTCCAGCTTCCCTAGAGCGCCAGGTCTAGGGAGAAGCTCAACTGTCAAAGAGTCATGCCCACAGGTCAGAGGCATCTTGAGCCGTGCTGAGAGCGAGCGGACAGCATGATCTGGCCTCCCTTGGGAACTACACAGGCTTCTTGCAAAGTGGCATGTGAACGGGGGGCAGAGCACCACAGCAGGAAGGACAGCACGTCTGAGGGACTCCCAGACCCATGGGCCAGGAGCAGAGAGGGCACCAGGGGATGGGGAGGGGTGGGACTTGAGAAGGCAGGGGACTGGGCAGGCCAGCCATGCTTAGGGTTTTAGTTTGCCCTGAGAGCAATGGGCAGCCCCTAGAATGTATGCACAATGAGGTGGCATCACCAAGAAAGTATTTTGAAAACATCCCCCCGTTTTGATGGATTGGATGGGCCTGAAGAGGAGGTCCCTGCTGAGGTTCAGGAAAGGGATGAGAGTAGCTCAATGGGTTGGCTTTTGGGACAGTGGCCTGAGAGAGAGCTGTGAAGGTGTAGACTGAGCAACCATTGTGCTCCCAAGAGACAGCACTTACCTGTGAGGGTAGCTCTGGTGGTTGGACCAATGCCTTTAGGGACCAGCACCTCATGGTATTGCTCCCCGGCCAAGGTGCTGTACACAACCTTGTATTCCTGAACTTCTGCCTCGCTGTTATCCCACTCAAGGTCAAGGCTGGTTGCTGTGCGGGAGCCGACTCGTAAATTCTTGGGGGCATCAATCTCTACAAACAGACAGACATCACCAACATCACACCCGATAATGTGCATTTGTGGTGCATCTTGAATTTTAAAAATCTTTGTGGCGAGACCCCACACTTCCTGACCCTCTGCCTTACATTTGAGTGAGCTCTGTTTCTGCCCCTGGCTTTTTGGTCTGTCCCAGCAAATTCCTTGGTCTGGTTGGAGGGTTTTACTTGGAAATTAGACATCGATACACTTTGTGATACCCCATGACCATCCAAGGGTTCCAGAAACTTGGAAATGAGCCAACTAATATCACAGGCTCCAAAACAAAGCAAAGGGAACCCAAGTAGGAGAAATCCGGGATAATCCTCAAGTGATTAAAATGGAAGAGAACAAAATTAGGTTTGAACATCAAGCAAAGAGAGGAGGGTTGATTTCAAGCTGCCCTTCTGGAGTTTACTAGTATAGAAATAGCTGAAAGGTTTACAGATTGGAAAATTAAAACACAGACAGGGGAAGTGAGGTTCTAGAAAGAATGTGGGCTTTGGGGTCAAGCTTCAGTTTGATTTCCAGCTCTGACACCTGCAGGAATGGGTCGTGGACAAGTCTTCCAGTCTCACTGGGACTTGATGGCCCCTTCTGTAAAAGGAGCAAATGATGCCATATTCCAGTTGCCATATGGTTAGACAATACATGTCAAGTTGGTTGTCTGGCCTCTGGTGGGAAAATAAGTGTCCAGACCCTGGGCTGGCTTCCTGTTGCCTCTGAAATGCTTCCTGAGTTCCAACAGTATTGCACCCCAATGCTCGCTCTTGGGGTTCCACAAATTCCAGTGCAATGAAGGGACTATCAGCTTCGGCATCTCTCCCACAACCCCAAGGAGCTGCTTCTCTCCCTGAGAACCGACGGCCTCGTCAGACTCATTTGGGAAGGAACAACATAAACCTCTAGGTGTGACCCTGAAAAACTGAGACTCAAGTTTAACTTGGAGCAGACCAGTCCTTTGTTCCAAGCAAACCTCCCCTGGGCTGCTGTAGTCTGCGAAAGCAAGGCAAGTATCCTGGATCCTTCTTGCAATGACGAGAATGCTGCGAATCCACCCAAAAGCAGAGGCTTGGGAGTGAGAAGTATTCTGTTTAGTGATGTAAATTGGGCGAATCTTTTAGCAGATTTATGTCTCTGCAGCTTGTTTACTGAGAACTGTTTTTTCACTCAAAGTACTTTAGCAAGGGGAGCTGTGCATCCCTGATGTGTTGTGTGTGCTATTTCTCTAGCAGTTGGGTGGAGGAGCCCGTGGGGGGATGTGCCTGACATCATGGCCCTGAGTGTCATGGGCGGGGTGTGGCACCTGACCTGGACTGGGGCAAGAACAGCTGGGTTAGGGTAAAGGTGGACACCTGCACCTAGTGGACACCTCTTACCTTGGAAACATCCCCTTTTTATAAGGACACAGAGAGGACTCACTGCCAAGGGTTCTGGGAGGTTTCTTCTTAGGGCCTTTGCGCTGTGGATGGGGGAAGAGTTTTCTTTGAAGGCAGTAGGTACTTCCAGTGCCAATAACCCTGAAAAAGGTCATTCCTGGAACAAGAGCTTGGGCAGAGGGGAACTTACTTGCAGTCTCAGGGTCTGGAGGCCTGGCTAGGAGGGGCGGCTGAGAGGCATCCCTCTATTTGGGAACAGAGCTGGTCTCTACTGCATCAGCAGGCCTGGGGTGAGAGGCAGAGGTAGATGGCTAATGGGGGCCGTGGAGGGACTTATGGCTGTGAACTCTAAAGCACAGGCTAGATCCCATGATTCTGTTCTGAAGCCTTCCCTGTTGCTCCAATCATGAGCTCCCGAACCTCCCTGCAGGCCCGCTGGCCTGGCCTGCCTGCTCTCATGCATCACCCTGTCCTGCTTCTACCCTACCCCTGGGGCTCCGGCTGTCTGCCTTCTTTCTACTGTTGAAACACATCAAGCTAATTCCTACCTCGGGCCTGTGCACTGGCTGCTGCATCTGCCTGGAATGAGCTCCAGATCCCTGAATGACTTAGTCATTGAGATCTTAGTTACAATGACACGTTCTCAGAAAGCCTTTCCAAACTGCTGGATCCAGAGGATCCCCTCCACATCATCCATTTCACTTCTCATCACAGAGCTCACCATCACAACGATCTTGTACATTTCTTTCCTTTTCACTGGCAAGTTTCCCCCAGGAGAATGCCATGCATGTGGTCCAGGTCTTGTCTTGTTTGTTCTACACCCTTAGGTCCAGCAGATGCTCAATAAATACACACCAAGCCACTGAATGAACACCATCAGCTTTGTTTTTTTTTTTTTTTTTTTTTTTTGCTAACTCAAAGCCTCTGCAAAAGTCTTGTCAGCTGTTCAGCCGTGGGGCTTGGGATGCTTGGGGTGAGGTGGTGCAGGGAGAAGAGCAGCTTTGGCTGAGGACAGCTGGTGTTGCAGGGGCAGGAAGCCCCCATGTCCTCTGCCATGCACAGCCAGAATCTTGGCTGGGAAGGTAAGTACTGTCCTGGTTGAACTTGGGAAAGAATTTCTATGAGAATCCCAGAGTGGAATCACTGAAAAGCAGATGGGGCTTGAACCTTCCTGGTGTTCCCATTAGTTTCCCAGACATGGTACCCCAAGTTGGGTATTTTAATAGAAAATTATTGTCTAAAAGTCTAGAACCCAGGTGTTGGCAGAGTCGCTTCCTTCGGAGGGCCATGGGAGAGCGTGGCGGCCTCTCTTGGCTTCTGATGAGTGGCCGCCATCTTTTGGTGCTTCTATCTCTGCTCCCATCTTCAGGTGGCATTTTCTTTGTGGGCAAGTCTGTGTCTGCAGAAGTTCCTCTTTCCATAAGGACATTGTCGTATTGGGTTAAGGCCACCTTAATGACCTTATCTTAATTTGCCTAGAACCTATTTCCAAATAAGGTCACATTCATATGCACTAGGGCTTCGACACCTTTTCAGGAGACGTAGTTGAACCCATATCAGCATTAAAGAGAATTCCAGAAGCATTTAGGTCACGTGCACCGGTGGCTGAACTCTGTGGCTTCAGGCTTATGCTCAAAGATGCCCCCTACAGCAACAGTCCAGGGATGGTGGCGCCCCCTTGAGGGCAGTGGAAGGCCAGGCTGCTGAGGGTGGGGATTCAAGAGACTGGGCTCCAGATTTCCTGGGATGGGGCTGGCTTCTCCCTTGCCACTGGCTTGGGATGCGGCCATCCAGAGCCTTTTCATTTTTCAGAGCAGCGCTAAGACCCAGGCAAATATCCCACTCACCATGCAGGAAGCAAATCTCTGTTTTAATTGCCTGTGCAATTAGTGCGCTCCTAGTGTCGAAGCCATCACCTGGAAAAGCACTTTGGTTAATCTGAATTTAAGCGGAGTTCTGGAATGACTAAGGGCCTTGCTGCGAGGGCCCGGGTACCCTCCTATCATTCAGCTGGCACATGCCAACCCCGAATTTGAGAGTCTGTCTGCGAAGCTATTTGTGGCTTCTGGCCTCTTCTCCCCTCCCCCACTCCTAAAGCAGAGGGGAGTGGGTTGGATGGACAGGCTGAGGCTGCACAGAGAAGGCAGCCACCTCATGGCTGCCAGTCACCAGGCACCGGAAATGGGAGAATGGAGCAGAGGCCGGCAGCAGGGAGCTGAACCCTGGGGGGCCCATGGAGGCGGGATGTAATTGTCTTGATTGGAATTTTCCTGGGCCACCCGCCAATCCTGCTTCCATCTTGTTGACCTGAACATCAAGAATTTGCTTTTCACCAGGCTGCTTGACAGCCCTCTTCTCCTGTTTTGCCTCTGCAACCTCCTTATCAGAGCAGAGCACAAAGAAACCACTTTCCAAACACAAACTCTCCTGAAATTAACAAAAGAATGCAGCACTGCCCAGGGCAGACACCACCATCCTGAGCAGGTGCTGTGGTGTGTGCGTGGTGGGGGTTGACCTTGAATTCTCAAACTGAGAGGGGATATCACAGGTCATCTTTCTTCACACTCTGCCAGGAATATTTTAGTTAAATGAGGGAGAAGAAGGGGAAGAGAAATGGGCAGAATTCGGCTCCTCTTTTCCAGGGAGAATACTCAGTCTCTGGGGATGTGTTCAGAAAAAATTACCACTGGCCACCCCCTGGGTGAGGGAGTGGAGTCTGGGTAAAGGTTAGACAGACATCCTGGAAGTTCTCTGGCAGAATAAAATCCTGCCTTCTGCAGCTCGCCAGTGTCTACATTTGATTCTTTTTAAGAAGCAAACCCTTCTGCGTGCAAAGAGCCCCATTGAAAGACTCCTGCTTCTCTGTCACTGGGGAAGGTGGCCTTAATGGCCAGCTCTGCAGCAGAGCCTGGACTGTCCAGCGCTTCCCTCTCTTGTGGGATGGGCTGCCCCATGGGCCAGGTCTCTTCCCATTCCTCGTTGCTCTAAGTCCTAACCCAAGTAGCCCCCAGGTCTGCCACATGGACAGACTAGCCCAGGTCTACAGTGCTGGTCAGCTTGCAAATCTAGCTGGCAGTCATACTTGGCTGCACGCTCCAACCTAGGGAACGTTTTGTGTCTATCTCTCTTATTCTTTACCTCATTTATCAATGGCTTAAACCCAGGTGGAGCAGGAAGTGCTAGCTATTGAGCCTCCTTGAAGCCCCTGGGCTTGCTCCACCCCGGCACAGGATCTCAGGCCACAACCCAAGGCAAGATGCTTGAAATAGTGATTCTTCTACTGTCAGATGATGCTGGTTCTTGGATCCTACAGATGATATCAGTTTCCTTGAATCCCTGGGACCCCTTAGAGTTAGCAGAGAACCTTGACATGTTCCCCAAGGCAGAGAGGCCAATGTCCATCCTGATTAACTAGGCTCAGTGACTAAGCTGATCACAGAGCCTTGCTGACTGAGCCAGGGTGCCAGGAAGCTGGTCTCTTGGGTGGTGCCTATCTTTCTTGCCCACAGTTGGCCAGACTAATGGGCACTGAGAGTCGGAGCGAGTCACCTGAGCTCTGGCCCTTCCCGAGTGCTGGTGAAGCTCTCTGACGCTAACAGCCTTGGGAAGGGGGCCAAGGTCACCATGGCGGTTGGGAGGCACTATGTGGGCTTCCAACTTCCTGTCCCTGGAATCAGGGCTTGGGTGGCCCATGCTGGTGCTTACACCGGACGAGTCACAGCCCTGCATTCGGCCTGTGGTGGGTCGGGTTGGGCTTTGAACAACGCCAAGGTGCTCCACCGTGGCCATGCGGCCATTACAGATTTAGAGAATGACTACAACAATATCCACAAATGGCCATGAAGCGTCCCGAGCAAGACGCACCTTTCCCAAACAGTCCCCAAGTTGTCATTTGGGCTAGCACTATGGATGCCCCAATGTCTTCAAGATAAATGTGTCATTTTACAAATGTCATTTTGCCAACCTCAGGGACTCATCGGAGGACAGGACTCAGTCGCTCGTCTGGCTGGCAGAACGAGGATCAGAACCTGTTCTGCTACTCTGGTGCCTGCTTTTCCTTTGTGCTGCGATGCCCCAGACCACTCCCCTCCTTCTGGCAGTGACCACTCCTTTCCTGCTCCTCTTGTGAGGACTCCACCAGCTGGCTCCCCCCTCCCCCTGTGCTCCTCTTCCCAGGGCAGCCTTACCTGTTGTGAATTCGGTGGTGGTGGACGCGCTCTCGTTGGCCCCTCGGACCGCACTGACTGACACCGTGTAGCGGGCGCCGGGCCGCAGCGCTTGCACCGAATACTGGCTGAGGGGAGGCTGCAGCCGGAAGGTGGTCTTCCCGCCTTCCCCGCCCACCAAGCCATATTTCAAGAGAATGAAATCAACTTTAGCTCGAGGTGGGGTCCACTCTACAAAGGCCACAGTGTCAGAGACATCTCGAACCAGGATCTGCGTGGGCCCATCAATGACTGAATGAGAAGGATCAAACAGAACAAAACGTCACCAGTCTGGCATAAGCCTTTGGCATCTGCCCCCTCCTTCTGGTGTGAGCTTGCTCAAAGAGGGCATGGTGTGAGCATCCCATTTTACAGACAGGGAAAGTGAGGAACACACTTTGGCAGTAGGACTCAGTTCTCCTGATGCTGGGTCCCGTTCTCCCTTTACCATGCTGCAGCTTCTGGGGCTGGCATGTCCTAGTCTGGGAATGGGAGGGCACTTCCTGGTCTGAGAGACTCAGAACAATTTCTTTCTGCAGGAAATGGGACCAGGACTTGAGGACCAAGCTTCCGGTGCCCAGCTCCCACCTTCAGGGAGCCCCCAGGAAAGGTCTATGAAGTGACCACCCTGTCTAAACATCCGAGACTTAGACCTCAGAGGTCACTGCGAGTGTTCCAAAGCTGTCCCTGCCCAGCTGTACTCATACCCAGACAACCCAGTGGCTGAGACCGTACCCAACCCAGCAGATTTGTGCCTTTGTGCCCAGGAAACATGCCCTCTGGGAAGACACAGTACTCTGGGCCATTTTTGTTTTCTCCTCCAGGGCTTGGATATTTCTGAGAAGGAAGGACACTGCAGTTACACCTAGGTCCTCAAGGTTTCCAGCGAATGTCCCTCAGGAGCCCTGGCCTCTGGCACCATGTAGCTGAGGGGAAGGCTGGGAAAACTGGCTGGTCTCCTACAGGGCGCAGCATCTACAGCTCTAGCACCCGCTGGGTGCTGTTCATATTGAATTGTGCTGGGAGAGGGCCGGGGAATGTAGAAGGGGAATAGGAAGAGGGAGAACCTGGGAGAATAGAAGATTACTTCTCAACTCCTCATGGGATGTCTGCTAACAGCTCTTTCCTAAGCATTACTCACTACCTGCAAAAGAGGAGGCCCAGACTCGAGATTTGCATTTGCTGTGTGACCTCATTGCTCTGGTTTGATCTGATCAATGTTGATATTCCCCAAGTATTTGGAATTGGCACCAAATTGACTCTGGTTCTCCAAGCAGCCTGTGTTGGACCCTGAGCTGGTGTGGCCATTGTCTATCATATTCATACAGAAATAGAAACATCTGATGGCATGGGGCAGGGAGGAGGAGAGGAGAGGACTGAAGAGGGGACAACAGGGGAGGGGGGATGAGGGACCATGAGGAACTTCTAGAAAGCCCTAGAGTAACTTCCTCCCATTCCATTTTGTCATTTGAGTCTTTCATTAGACCCTGATATGCTTTTGACCCTGGGTTTCTATGAAACACTCTATGTCCTTCCAGAAACTTCTCTTTAGCTTCAGGTAATTCAGGTACATTTTCCTTGCTGGTTAGCTGAGTGTCTTGACTGAGCCTTGTTTTTTAATCAGCCCACACTGGTCCACCTTCTGCTCTGACTCCAGATATGAGGTCTCTCTCTCAGCTGTCACTGAGTCCCTTGACTTTTCAAACTTGGGCTGTCCCATAGGCACCACGCCCTCTTTCTGGATCTAGCCCATTGCTGTTTTTTATTAAGCAACTTTAAGATTTTGGGTCTAGCATCTAGCACCAGCCAAAATGAAAATCACCAGACCACTTTGGTGCCAACTGTTTGGGAGATCAAATGAAGTCCTGTCTTTTATATTTAAGGTAGTCACATGACTGAACAGAAAATATCCAGACTGCTTCTTTTCAGCATGCTGCACTTGGTGGTTTTAAGTAATCTGGGCCTTTTTAACTTCATTTAATTTAATTAAAAGATGGAGGAATGGCCTCCTTACTGTGGTATGAGCATAATGGAAAGAGACGCTTAGTCAACGAGTTTTGAGTAGATGAAATGAATGGGTGAGCCTCTTCACCATGAGAAAGGGGGAAACATTTCAGGGAGCTGGAGCTTCTAGAAGAAAATAAAAGGTATCAGGGAAACTCAAATGACCACATAAGGCTTTTGTCCTTCAACTCTTGGATACAAAAAAAATCCCTGACCATAATGGAGTGACCATATTAGACTGTGATCATGTAGCACAGGGGGCTCTAGCTGCAGGAGGTCTCATATTTGCATGCACTAAATGGCCTGTCCTGAAGAAGCCAGGCTGAGTGCAGACGAGGACTCAGAGCTCCACAGGAAGGGGCTGGTGTAGGTCAGACCTTAACAGAAGGAAATAATTAAACAATCGCTTCCTAAAAACAGCAGACGGGATTGCGAGCTGGCCATCTTTTCTGTTGTCACTCTTGGATTCTGCCCTTTGGTTGGTCAGTTGGTAGTAATGTCGCATTCCAATCAAGGAAGGATCATCTTGCTTTCAATTTAGTCCCAATTTCTAAACAAACACAAGTTCTACTCAAAACGTGAACTGGAATACATGTTTCTCATTTTTCATTTTTTTCCCCCCATGGCTCTGTACATGATGTCAACATATTAACACTAGGACTTTTCTTCTTGATTGAAAAAGATCTGCCTGGATTTACTATGGATTTCTAGATCCACATTTTAAGTTTAATCTTAAGGGACTTCCGGACCAAGAAATACTGCAAAAATGTGGTTTGAATATAAGACTAAGGCAGGATTGGACCCCCTTCTTTAAGTACTTTCAATGCTTTAGAAGACTAATATTCAATTGTAATGTTCTCTCTCCTCTGTGAACCATCTTTTGTCTTCTACAAATGTTTTTTTTTTTAAAAAAAACATGAAATCACAAGAATGGCTTGGGGACCAAGATACAATCCTTATCAGAAGTGAAGAATCTGCACTTGTCATCTAATGTCAAGGCTTCAGGTTGCAGCATTAACCCTGGGGAACTGAGCGGTGCCCTTAGCCTTCCGGATATTTCTGCAGAGCACTTTTGGATTTTAGGCTATGGGGTTTCATATTTGGACTAAAACAGTAGTTTGAAAGCCTTTTTTTTTTTTTTGAGTGAAACTTTTTTTTTTAAACAGAACGTTTTAAATGGCTGTTCAAAATATAAAACAGATCAAAGTGGAGCTGCCCTGGTTGGAGGCATCTCAGAGGAAGTAATTAGAGGTGTGGATCTCCACCTGATCCTGGCCTCAAGGCACAGGTGTGGAACCCTAGGGCACCAATGGAACACAAGCTAATGCCATCAGAGTTTTGATCAGTGCTTCTCAGACAGAGTACAGGCCTCAGCACCTGAGGTTCCACGGTTCCAAGAAGCAGAGGATGAATCACTAATCTACATGGTCTCATTACCCAGTGCTGTGGTTCCCTTTCCTGGTCAATTCAATATTTTGTTCTGGACCTAATATTGTCTTGCAAGGGTGACACTTTCTGTTTATGAAAAATAAAACTGTATCAACGTTCACCTATCCCGGAGTTTGTTACTGACAAGGAAAACTGCCTAGCCCGGGCCACAGCTCTCCCAGCAACAAAACGAGAACAAGAAAATGATCCCACAGACTACATTGAATTTTTGAGGAAAAAAAAGATATTGTGTGAAGGCACTTACATATGCATCACAATTGCTCATTTTGGGCCTTGAAGTTGAACACCCTTTGTTAGTTCAGGAAACAATAAGGCAAATAGAATAGAGTTGACCAATCAATCCTGAAAATATAATAACCTTGAAGGAGATGAACTGTGGGGATGGACTAATAAGCAACTTATGTTGTCACACTGAAAAGTGACCCAGCTCTAAGTACTGTTTTGACATGGTTTGTCTCTGACTACTTTTACTTCCAAGCACGGTTTCTGGGTATATATTTATATACTAAGTGTTAAATACTCACTTTTATTAAAAACATTGAGTCTTCATTTGGACCTACAGATGTAAAAATCCTGGCAACTCTTTCCCCATTTTGCATGTGTCCCCTTTGCTCTGATTCTGCAGAGCAAATACCTCAGTGAATACCTCTGATGAACTGAAACCACCCCACGGGCCCCAGCAGCTCCATGGTCATCAATGAGACTTTGGCCAATCCTCAGATAAGGATCAACCAGATCACAGTCCCGCCAAGACTGCTTGAGTACGCACATTTCTGGTCCCCTTTGTCTATATAGCTTGGCAGTTCATGTCAGTAACTGCTGAAAATATGAGTCTTCCTCGTCTTCCCAGGATGGCTATCCTAATTAATGTTCCTTTCCTGCTTCTCACCATTACTTTTTTGGATTGGTTTTTGGGTGGATGGCCAGATCTGATTTGTTGGGATTCCCCAGAGTTAGGTGTCTGGATTAGGACTCTAGTAACATTAGCGGCATAGTATAATCACTTTTTATACTCTATCTAATTTAATCCTCACACTGACTCATGGACATACTATTGCTCCTCAGTGTAAAGCAGGTTGACATCTGAGAAGGTTTGGCTGACTTTCTCCAAATCTTACACTAGGTGAGATGAGTCTTTGTCATGAGATTTTGGTTCCAAAGCTCATGACACTAAGGGGTTAACATATGAGGTCTCTTAGTGAGTAATGAGGATCAGAAAAATTGCCTGGAGAATCTTGACAGAGAGTTCCTTAATGGAACATGGATTTCTATGCTTGCAAAGAAGAGCAAAAGGAGTATTGTCAGCTAAGTATCTGGCAGAGTAGACCCATCTCCAGGCCCTCCAATCACTCAGCTCTGGCAGGAACCCAGCGGCTGTTTGCCTCCCCACATCTTGGGTAATTCTGCAGTTCTTGTTCCTGGGTGACCTACAGCTGGAGCACTCACCAGTGGAGACGCTGGCCGAGGTTGGGGGGCTCCGGGCTTGTTCCTTCAGGGCCACCACATTGACAATGTATTCCTCCCCAGGCTTTAGCCCAGTCTGGTTAAAGGAGGTGACGTCACTTGGAAGCTGAGCAATCACTCCTCCTTCATTGTTCTGGAGAGCGGGAAGGAGCAAAGAAAGGAAAAGAGAGAGTCACCAGGAGTGAAATCAACGAGAGAAGGACATGGAACACTGACTTGGGAACTGGAAAGTAAAAATGGGGGCTACTTCTACTCCCTCCAGGCTGACAGAGGAGTGTCTGGGGCTAGGAACAACTCCCAGCAGGCTCGGTGAGAACCGACTTCAAGAACATTTCTTTGGCCTCTCTTGAGTTTTTCAAGTTTGCCAATAAAAATTAGTCATGAGGTGATGCAGATTGGCTCTTGCCAAAGACTAAATGTTCAATGGTTACAGGTAACATCCATCATTTTTTTTTTTTTTTTGTCATTTAGTGTTACGAGCCTGCCTTTGGCTGTTTACAAGAGTACAGTTGTGTGTAAACATTTTTATAATATCCACAACATATTTCAAACTAAGATATTCCCAGATTTTTTAATGAGCTGGGGCTACTATTTGGCTATATCTGGAATTTCTCATGGTGCTACAAAGGGTGAAAATCTATCAATGTCATGTTTCCACCTCACCCAGATGAGTTAAGACTCAGAGACATAATCATGAAGTACAAAAAAAAAGAAAGAAACAAAGAAAAAAGAAACACGAAACAAAGAAAAATACAAAGGGGAGTGGTAGAAGACAAATAGGTGGAAAGGAAATGAGAAAGGAACTAGATGATGTTGGGTCCAGAATCTAATATCTATCTACCATCTACCTATCATCTATCTACCTGTTATCTAGCTATCATCCATCTATCAATCAATCATCTATCATCTATCTATCTATCTATCATCTACCTACTATTAATTAGGTTTTCCATGTGTGTGACCTTGGAAACAGAAGGGACAAGAGGGCCCCCTTTCAAACACTCCCCTTCTTTCTTATTCTTTCATCTCAGTTTATGTCATCTCGAGTTCCCTGTACGTCACTTACAGCCATACTTTTGTAAATCAACGTGATAACCTTCCCACAGCCTGTGACTTCTGCCTACAGAGGCTCAAGAGGTTATTCTCTGCTGCCATGCATTGGATCTTGGTATGCCCTGGTCAGCCCCTCTTTTATTTAGAGTTTCACATATTGTATGTAAAACAGGAGAATCTGGCACGATTTTCTTTTCTTGCTTGGGCAGCAGAGTAACATGATTCTTGCAGCTTTCTTTTAAACTCAGTTGCCTTCCATTGATTATTGGCCATTTTAACTCAGATCATTTATACAATAATAGATTTGCATAGAATGTCTGTTAGGAGAATTTGGCTTGTCATGATAGGACTGTATCTCCAGAAGACGGGGGCATCTGCATTTGTGGGCAGAGCCCTGGAGCAGGAAGCTGAGACTAAGGTTTTTGACTTAAGCCCGGCACTAATTAGGGATCTTATGTCATCTAAGTTCTCTGAGTCTTCGTCTCTACACACTAAACTAAATTAAACTAAATGTGAAATGTGGGGTCTTAACTCTGTGAACTTGAAGATCCTCTGTAGCTCCAACAGTCCACGATGTCAAGAATGTGGTGGTAAAAGAAAGGCAAGATCATAGTCTAGTTCTCCCCAAATGTGTCATTGGCCATTAAATCTGAAGAAGTCTGAAAGGTGCTCTTTCCTGTAGAAGGACAGGGACAAAGGGAGGGATATGGCTGAACTTTGCCCCCTCAGGTGTGGTGGTCAGGGACAGCTAGGCAGGCGTCACTGGCAAGTCGGAAACAGTTTTAGGATTAATAAAAGAAATAAGTAAGCTGCTTTACCTAGTAGAGAGGAATCTTAGGGTACTTTTAAACTCACAGACTAAGCATGCAATTTGCTTAAAGAAAAGGTTGCCTAATTAATAGGTTATAACTTCATTCTGAGTAACTGGGAGAACCAGGGCATTTCTGCGATGCCTCTAACCTCTGGGGTCGCAACCCACACGAGCTGACAGTTAGTCCATCTGTTTGTACAGAAAGAATCCGTGGAACCCAAAGCTGGTTCCACTTGGCCCCCACTTTTTGATGGCCCAGTTTCCTAACCGCTAACATGGGACTCTCCAACCCTGAAACTGTCTCAGCAAGAGCTGCCGCTGGAGCTGCTTTCCAGGTCCCCCCTGTACAGACCAGGGGCTCTGCTCGTGGTCCTCAGCTCTTGGTGAAAGGAGCCTTCTGCAGCCCAGGCACTCACTTAATGCCCTTTCATGTCTCTACTGGCCTGGAGCGAGACCCTGGGCAGTGCTGCCCTGCTGCCCTGCTCCCCAGGTGAGGCACGAGCAGAGGGAGGCTGCCGGGCATCCTGGCAGCGGGTGTTACCTTTGGGATGAAGCTGATCTCCCACCCATCGAAGGAGAACGAGAAGGGCTCCCACTGCACCTCCACGGTCGTCTCCGTAATTGTCTTGAATTGCAGCCCTTGAGGAGTGGAGAGATCTGGAACACAGCAATGTGGGTGACAATGTCACGGCTGTCCCTGGCAGGGACAGAGAGCAGTGCCTGGCTCTTGTCTTGTGAATGCCCTCTATGCTATGGGTGTGGTGGCCTGTGGCAGGACCGCCCCATCCTACGGCAGACACAGTGTGTCCTGGTGCAGATGGGCGCTCTGCCCTGGGGCTCTGGGGCTCTGTGTTGGTGCAACACAGGAACACACTTAACGAATGCAAAACTTTTTTTTGTGCTTTCTATTACATAATAGAAACTGTTAATGTTAAATATAAAAGTCATGTTTTCCTTTCCTTACTAATGTGATAAATCTTGGAATGGAATAAAAAGCCTTTTTCAGAGAACTCGAACACTATCTTTGGAAGCTGTACAGGATTCCTGGGAGGCAGTATTGTGCTAAGCCCAGTGTTCCCATCTCGTTCACAGGGAAAGGAGGCAAGAGAAGGTTTGGTTAAAGATGTGGAGCAAGCCAGCTTCAGAAGGAAGACCAGGGTTCTTCTCCTGACCATCTGATGTGCACTCAAAGTATTTTAGGGAGCACAAATCCCTAAATTTAGGGCAGTCTGAATTTTCATTTTGTGTACACAAGCAGAACAAAGGCGTACACCAGCTTTGCTCTTATTTCACTTTCTCCAAATTTCCTCCAGCTGCTCCTTCGTTATTCTCCTCTCCCTCACTCCCTTCGGCCTCACTTGTCTAACTTTTGGCTCTCTCTAAATCTCCTCCCTTTCTCCCCCCAACCTTTCCCCCCAACCGCACATACACACACACATGCACGGGTTCAGTGGGGTGAAATATGCTCGTCCTAATGGAGTTCCAGTTACCAGCCCTGAGTATGACAGCACAACTTCTCTCAATTCTCCAGGGCTCCGCTCCCATTTTAGCTTCACCTCTCCTGGGCTATTCCCGTTGGAAAACCGACAGATTCTCATCTCTCCCACTGGGAAGCTTCCTGGCTGAAAGGCGGGGCTGGTTCTGAACCCACTTGAAGGCATGTCAGGCGCCTTTACATGATTTTGTCCTTGTCACCTGGGAGCGTGCCTGCAGGGATGCCCTGAATTGGCACAACCGCCACCACAGGGGCTGGAAACCTCATCAGTGCCTGTACACGTGGATCAGAGTGGGGACGCCTGGGAGCCGGCCAGGCCCTGGGGGTGGTGACTCATCCTGGAGCAAGGTGGGAAAAGCAGCAGATGGTGACCTACCTCCACGGATCACTGCAGATATTTAAAACTAGTTCACAGGCACCAGAGGAATTGGGGGAAAAAGGTCAAATATAAACAGATAATTATAGGCATATTAACGGAGTCAGCATTTGTGAGAGTCCAGTATTATCCCAGGACTTGGGTCACCTGAGAAGCGAGGGGGCAAGACGACTTCTGCAGTCCTGCCCTGCTGCCAGTCCCTGTCCTTGCCTCTTTCTAAGCTCTGCTTCCGTCCTCAGGCTTCTGTGAAGCCTTCAGGGCCAACTCTTTATACCTTGACCTTTTTTCCCCTCTGGAACTTCACATCCTAGAGCCTTAACTTTCACAACTAAAGTGAGCCATTAAGATACGGTGTTATATCCAACCTGGTAGCGCCTGCTTGCCATCCCAGCGACCTGGGATGCTGAGGCAGGAGGATTGAAAGTCCTGGGCCAGGCTTGGCAGCTTAGAGACACCCACTTTCAAAATAAAAATGAAAAGGGCTGGGGATGTGGCTGAGGGGTAGAGCTTGCCTAGCATGTGTGAGGCTCTGGGTTCGATCCCCAGCACCACAAACACACACACGCCAAGATGTTCTGCTAAACATCATAAAGAAATGCTGCCACCTCTGTATGAGAAGTGGATGTTGTCGCTGTGGTTTTAAACAAGGAGTTTTTCTTTCACTCTGCTATGCACTTGCCCTCGGGAACATAACATCTATTGGCAACTTGCTTATTGTTCTTCCTATTTCCTATCTCCTGGTTTTGGATCCTAACTGTATTCAAGGTCTGTATAAGTCTCATTGGGTACATGGCTTCCAAGTTGAGTCTAGCTTCTAACAAGTCAGTATTCAATAATTAAGTACTTTTTGTTCTTTTGTTTTTATAATCTATGGAAGCTGCCTGAATTTGGACATTCTCTTAATAGGAAGTGTCTGTTTAAAGATACACCCTTTTCTAAGTGGGTCATGTCTGAAGCCCTTCCCCTCAAGATGATTGCAGGGTCCCTGGAGAATTCAGAAAAGACACCACTACCATGAATGCCCATGATCTCATGTGGGAGAAAAGAAAAATGAAGCAGGAGCGGGGGAATGGTACGTACGGGTGGCCACCTTGGCAGTGATGGGAAGGCTGGGGATGTTGCTAATGACAGCGTAGACGCTGATGTTGTAGGTGAGACCTGGCTCCAGCTCCGTGATGGTGACACCACTCCAATCTCCAGGCACCCGCTGCTGGAGCTGGAGGCCCCCCCGGGCCGTCGGCTGGTAAGAGATCACATATTCCGTCACTGCCATCGGCCCGTCCCATTCCAGCTCAATGGACCTGTCGCTGATACCAGCCACTCGCAAGTCCTCTGGAGGGGCAACTACCGGGAGGCAATACACAGACAGCGTGAACTCAGAGGATTGCCTGCCCCACCCTGGACTCAACTCCCTTCCTCGCCTGTCACCCCCCACGCCATCTCCACACGGTCTGCAGGCTCAGCGGACTGAGTGATTTGTAACAGCTTCACCTCCTTTCTGCACTTAGTTATCCCAACCTCCATGAGGCTATGAGTTAGTGGTGTTCAGGAATTTCACAAGATGGTTAGACACAACCATTATGAAAGATGAAACTTTAAAAACTTACAGTGAAGCAAATTGCGTCAAAAACAAAGGTCGTAAGTATTCACTTTCAAGTCATTTCACTACATCTTCCTATCATCTAGGCCCTTGAGTGACGTTTGTGTGTTCTACCTCTCTGGTGGAGATACTGTGTGATGTGTCTATTGCGTTTCCAGTGCCGGGTTGAGTGACCTCATGTTGGTAGTTTGAAGTTGGCCAAACAGGGAGTGTTTACACCATGGAAACTGGACAGAGCGGAGCTTCAGTTTCTTTGGTTTTCTTATCACAGATCCAGTTGTTAGATATTTCATAACACACCACTGGCCAAAAGTGTTGGTAGTTTACTAAGTTACTGTCATCAGATTGTCCTGAGAGCCAATGTCTGACTGTGCAAATGGGGCTAAAGACTTCATCCCTTGTTATCTTACAAATTATGACCCCAAGACAGGAAGCCTTGTACACTATGGTCTGATAAAGACATTTAGTGGCTCTTTCTCATAGCGTTTTTTTTTTTTTCCTTTTAAAAAAGAAAGTTTTGGAAGAGTAACATGTTAAACTAATTTTCATTAGCCTTGACCTTGGAGGTGATGATTAAGAAGCCTTCTTGAGAGCTGTGCTTTTCTCTCTTGTCTGACTTCTCAAATGCTGCTCAGAGTCACCAAAGGTTAAACCACATTGAAAGAGCCTTTCAAGTCTGATTCCCTTGGGAAGTGAAGATTCACCAGAAGTGTAGGCATCAAATAATTGAACCTTTAAGACTAATTAGAGGATAACTCCAGTGCTTCTGTAATTGGACCTGCTCGTAGATTAAATCAAAGATCAGGTCAATACTTAAATGGTCATAATTAACCTATACATTCATATGTAGTGGAGGGTTTGGTTGGTTTAAGAATTGCCATTGGTTTTGAATTTCTCCTCTGGGTAATCTCAACCTTTCACCTTTATAAGCCAGAGGTCTAGGCCAGCTGCTTTTCATACCTGCCTCCTTGTGCTCACATGTGAAACCTCAACTCCTCAGCCAGGGCCGAAGTGAGGAGCCCTTTGACCCAGACTCACAGGAGGGAAATTAGCAGCATTTATCTGCAGTGCTGGATATTGGCTTTGATTGCATTTGATCAAAACCATTCATTTTGTGAAAATCTAGAGAGCAGAGCTTCCTCTATCAGAACCAAAACAAAAATTTAAAATTTATTTTTTAAAATGTACAAAATTGAAGAAGTACAAACGATGTTTAAACAATTTAACCTTCCAATGATATTGCATAAACTTGCATCATTGCTAATTCTGACATTAGTGAAGATGTGAACCTCACTCAGATGTTCAGGGCAGCCTGTATGGAATGGCTCCTGGGCCCAGGGAAGGACTGATGAGAACCTGTCAGTATTCGGCACCATCACACTGAGAATTTATTACACACCAGGCACAGTGCTCACTGCTCCAACATGGATTATCTCATTTGACCTCTTACCAACACCACGGAGTAGGTGTTATTATTACTCCTATATTATAGAGGAGGAAACCGGGCCACACAGGGGACAGACACAGAAGCTAAGATTAGAACCCAGCCAGAATGACTCTAGAACCTCTGAGCCCAAATGCAATTCCAGTTTACATGTACATGGCATTTCACAACCTAGAAAACATGCCCCACACACCATCTAACTATTTAAAAAATCCTTTGACAGCAGCCTGTAAGGTAGTTCAAGGAGCTAAAACTATTTTAACTTTACAAAAGAGAAATCTAAGGCCCAGGTCAAGGCCTATGTCAAATCAGGAGTTGGGCTATATGTAGCAGAACTGATTGTTCAGCCTGAATCTTCTATGGTTAGAGCTCTTTCTCCCATGATTTAAGGAGTAGAATGTGGATTGTTCTCCATGCACCATCCCTCCAAGTAGAACTACATGAGAAGCAATCCAGACAGTTGTGTAGGATGTGCTCTCCAGAACAGTGCTCATCCTGGAGCTAAGAAAACCCCTTTTTAAAAAGTTCTTTGGAGTGTGCCTCTTGTGATTCAGCATGCTGTTCCCAAATTTCTTTTGCAGGACATTTTCTGCCATAGGGACACAAAAAAAGGCCATTCCAAATTTCAAGTCACCAACAACTCTTAGGGCCTATGGGACAAGTCAGTGTATTCCTTTCTGGTTCTCTCTTCTAGAAAATAAAGCTAAGCATGACGGTGAAGGGTGATCTGAGCAGATTGTTTTAGAATTGTTAAGTGAACAAGAGGGGCAGAAGATTTATCTCAGCCGCTTAGCCTGAGGCCTGAGCCTGGGGGAATACACTTCCTTCACTTCCCATGGAGGAAGAGCAAGGGGTGTCATTCAGGGTAGAGTACTTCTTTGAGCAGTGGCTCAGTGGGGGACAGCTTCACTACTTGCCCTGTAAGTGAGCAGCAGCTGTGCACTTTGGGAGCCAGTAGTCGTTACTAAGCAAGACAATGTGGAGTTACAAAACAAATTATAACGGAGACTCAAGCCTTGAGTTGATGCATTTGTGGTGGGGAAAAGGCATTCTCAGTCTTACTTTCTTTGGAGTTCCAACTTTGAAATTTAGGGAAGAGCAGGCTGCTAAAAAGAAAGAAGTGGTGATTATCTGCACAGCGCCCACGCTGCTTACTTTTTTCAACCTCACGTCACTTTTGCACTTAGGTGGTGAGAGCAGCTGGAACCAGTCCACGTTGTGTCTTGCTCTAAAACGCAAGGGGTTTCAGGTGCCAAAGGTAGGGCTGGCTGCAGTCCTGACAGAGGCAGGGGCTGATGTTGACAAATCTCTGCAGGCCCGACTGAAGTCTGGGGAACAGCTTTCTGGATTATTTCAAGAGCCTGCTCCCTGCTTCGCGCTGGCTCCTAGGGAGATCAAGACAGCTCACCAGCTAGCTTCTGCTCTGGCTGCCATCACTGGGGGAAGATGCAGACGCATGGTCCCAGGTACTTCTTCACCCCATCTCTCTAATACCTTGATTTCTAAACATTTAAAAGGGCTCAGCTTTTATATTGAAAGGTCACTTCTTTGTGGCTGTGGCTTTACAATGAACTTGTCTCAACTCTGTCTACTTAGCAGTTCAGAGAAGATTAAAGAGGGCTGGGTTCTCATTCTTATTCTGCCATTAATGAGCTGTCAGGCTCTGGGAAAGTCTCTCTCTCTCTCTCTGGACAACTCTTTGAAATCTGTCAAATGAGAAGCCAGGAGTAGCTTCTATGTAAGGCAAGTCTTAAGTGCTCATATTCATGAATTGTTTGTTCTATTATCTACACATGTGCAGAGAATAGAGGCAGAGCTTGAGATTCTGTCCCATGGTGCACCATGAGCAAAAATCAAGCTGAGGAGTCAAACGCAGTGGCCTTGCTGCCAATATTCAGTTGTGTTCCAGCTCTGGGGACCCAAGCAGCCTCAGAATGAAATCCACACAATGGACAGCTCTTCTCCATGCCCTCGCCAAAGAGAAAACGGTGACCTCCGAGGGAGTGTAGCCTGAGACTCTTCATTTCCCACCTTCCCAACCCTTCTCTCTCTCCTCTGTGCTCCTCGGGGCGGTAGGAGCGGTACTGCTGTTGTGTGTGCACCTGGCCAGAAATGTCAAGCAGGGGATAAAGAGCCCCCCCTCTGACAGCCTTTTCACAAACAGCAAGCCAAGGAGCCCTTGAGGAATGACCTAGATTCCTCTCTGGCAGAGACCTGTGGCATTTGGTTTTAAAGGCAAGCTTTAAGAGCAGTACCTCATGCAATGAGAGGTGGTTCCAGGGTTGCTATAGAAACAGATGGAGATTATGCAACTGTCCTTCCTCACATGTTTTGGGAACCTGTTAAGTGATTTATCTGGGCCTACAGAAGTCTTAAAGCAGCATAGAGGTAATGTGTGTGTATGGTTTGGACTCAACCAAGTCATAGGAATCCTGACAGTTACTGAGTCTTCCCGGAGGTGACCAGGAGGGCTCATCTCCAATGCATTTTGGACCCTGGATCAGATCAAGCTTTTGTCTGTGAATGGACCCATCCCTGTAGAAAGACAGGTCAAGAACATGAGGGCAAGGGCAGACATACAAACACTGAGTCTATTACGAGTTGTGTTTGGGATAGAATACCCTCAACACAGCAATGGCCAAAACTGACCCAGAGTAACCTCCAGGTGGGGCTTAGCAGAACCTCATCCCCTGGGTGGAAACTAAGTTATGCTTTATCCTTGCTGTCCAGAAACTGCCTGGTGACTTTGGATTCAGAAACAATGAGGCTTAACTTCTGTCTGAATTTTGCTTTGGAACAATTGATACACACGGTGACCATATTTGTAGAGAGACATTCCAAAATTGAGAGACTAAATGAAATAAGTAAAATCAGAAAAAACTTAATGTATAAAAAAATTCTCCTAGGCAGTAGATTATCTTTTTTTTTTTTTTTAAATCTTTCATCATTGCCATTGATCTTGCAAAAGAATGTAACTTGAAGTCCCATGGTGGGAAGTTGGTCTGCCACAGAGCGGAGTGTCATTGAAGATACTGAGGAGCAGGAGGCTGGTATAGCCAGTTTCCCAGGATTTCTCCTTTAGAAAACTCCTGGAATTGCTCAACCAGAAAGTTGGAAAATGTTTGTTGTTATTTCTGCTTTTAAAATTTCCCAGTGGGCATCCTGAGCTTTGAATGGACAGGATCAATTACTAATCTGTGCTGTTTAAAGCACAAATACATGTCTCAGCAATACTCACTGATTAATCAGAGGAGGATGAACAAAAGGGAGACAATGAAAATAACCAGTTTGGGGGCAAAATATATTTTTAAAAAATCAACCCTAATGAGATATTAATATAATTCTCACTGTTGGATTGAGAGCTCCATTTTCAGATGCCCCCCTGTCAGTCTCTAAGGTATGGATCATATTTGGGGTGAGATTTGTGCTGTAGTCATCGGCAACAAAATGAGCCCCCTCCTTTTAATATTCTGTACTAATCATCAGAATGTCGCTGTTGCTTGATGAATGTAGTATTTTTTTTTTTCCTATTTACGTTTGATTTCTTGCCTGCACTTTTCTGCTTGTAGGCCCTCGGTCATTTCATGAATCAATAACCCTCGCCATCTGCAAGCTCCAAGGTGAGCGGAGATCCTCATAGACTGGCTCCCGCCCCCTGAGGAGCTCTGTAAAAGGAGACAGCCTGGGACCATGGCATCAGGCCTGGTAGCCGCGGGAGAGCAGGTGCTTGCTCATCTGCTGTGATTTGGGTGTGGTCTGGTTGTGCCCCCCAAGGGCCCCCCAGGTGGAATTTGTCCTCATCATAATTGAAGAAAGTGGAAGCCATCTGACTGTGGTGTCCAGAGGTGGAGGTTTTGGGGGGTGGTGAGGGTAGATAAGGCCATCAGGGTGGAGCCCCAGGACTGAATCCTGGTGGCTTTGTGAGAAGAGACACACGTGCGCTCTCTGTCTCTTGCCAGGTGACACCCTGCATGCTCCTAGACTCTACCAGCAGGAAGGCCCTCACTCGATGTGGCCCCTTGACCTTGGGCCTCCAGAACTGGGAGCCCAAATAAGCCTCTTCTCTTTATAATTCAACAGCCTGTGGGTTCCTGTAATCAGTGATAGAAAACAGACCCGCAGCCCCGCGCCCGGCACTGCAGGGACAGTGGGGTGTCATCACTGTTAGTAAGTTGCCTTTGTTAGAGTCAGGGGTAAAGATCTGCCTCTCAGCCTGAACTTGACCTTTCCTAAGCCCTCTTTTAATCTGCCTCACCAACTGTTATTGACTCGAAAAATCAGCTGTCTACAACCCAACTGAGAATGACCTTACCTAAAATTCACCTTCCCTCCCGCACCTGTTTCCAATCTCCCCAGAGGTGTCCAGTTAGTGTGCTGGACCAGCCATGCCCAGCCTCCCGCCCAGCTCCCCTTCCTACCTGCCGAGCAGTCAGGGCCCTGGTAGCCCTCTTCACAGACGCAGAGCCCCTCCTGGCAGTGTCCTCGCCCGCTGCAGGCATTCAGACACCGCCGCTGGCCGCAGTCCTCGCCGACGTAGCCCTCCTGGCATAAACAGGTGCCGTTGGCACAGGTCCCCTTCCCTGAGCAGTCGCCGGGGCACCTCAGCTCCCGGCAGTCCTCTCCCGTGTAGGGCTCTTCACAGACGCACTCCCCGTCCACGCACAGCCCCCGGGAGCTGCAGTCCGTGGGGCACCGGAGCTCAGAGCAGTCGTCCCCACTGTATTCGCTGTCACAGATGCACTGGCCGTCCACGCACACGCCCCGACTGGAGCAGCCCAGCGGGCAGTAGGGCTCTGAGCAGTTCTTGCCAAACCAGCCTTCGTTGCAGATGCAGCCACAGGACTCCAGGCTAAAGTTGCCGTGGCCGCTGCAGTGAGGGATGTAGTCCAGTTGTCCTGGAATGGTCAAGGAGAAGGTCAAGGGCAGCAGCGGCCTCTCCTATAAATGGTGTGTGTGGGGGGGAGATAGGCAGAGACCTCTAGTGATCTCTGATCAGATTTGTGTTGCTAAGAGTTAAGCTCCACATAGTTTGGTACACTATCAATTTAATCACTATTTTCAGGTGTTATGGTGCCTGTTCCTAGCACGGTGCTGGGGGCCAGGATGAAGGAGATCTGATCCTCCCCCTGGAGCTCATCTTCAGGGTGCCTCAGATTGGGGTCATTTCATTAGAAGTGGACTTTAGGTGGAGATTCATGTAAAGGTCACTTATTGGAAAGTACATAGTGGAAAAACCTGGTAGGGGAGAGGGGCAGATCAGAAGGGAGGGCATGCAAGCTATCAAGCAATGTCTCAGGGAGACTGACTTGGGTTCAACCCTGCAGTGTCACACTGCAGAGAAGGTTGGGGGCTGTCCCCAAGGGCAGTACATTTCAGGCCTCTCATTCTCTCTTTGGGCAGGTCCAGGGGTTCCAATAGATTCAGGATGGTCCTGTATCAAAGATGCTCACTCCGTTATTGGCTGTGGGGACTGAAAGGGATTGGTGGGGAGTGCCAGCGGGTGTGGGCTGAGCACTGGGTCAGCGGGCAGAGAAAGGCGTCCTGCCTGCCATCAACTGACAGTTCATTCATCAAAGCTCAGCACCAGGTTGCTTCAAAGTCTTCCAGAGTCCTCAGCCCCACTCACCCTTTGCTGCAATCCTCTGGATTCTTTGCATATCCCTTTCCTGACCCTTGCTGTGGTATAGCTACAGTGGTTAATTGATCTGTCTAAACAAACTCATTAAGCACACACACACCAAGTACCTGCTCGGCATCCTTGTCTGCACTTGACCCTGATGATGTGGAGTCTAGTAAATTCACTCTGCTGCTTCATGCAGCCCCTGTGGCCTGAAAAGATACTACACTGACATCGCTCAACAGCTCTTCCTCGTACGATTTTTCCCATCCGCCAGGAATCCTGGTAAAAAGACCACTTACAGAAGCCACACTGCTTCTTGAGCAGCAAAGAGACCGTGGAAACCTATGACATTCCCCTGCTCTGCACTCCACTGGACAGATGAATGACCCATCAGTTCTCCCAAAGAACAGGGGACTGAGCCACGGAGCGCCCCCTTCTAGCCTTCAGCTGTTTGTCTCTCGTGTGGGTGAGGGAGAGGAGAAGGAGCTGAGGAAAACCCAGGAAATACTTCATTACTCAAAAGCTGCCCCCAGTCTTGCTGTGACCGGGGGACTAGGGGACATCCTCTCTTAAAACTGCACTCCACTCTCATCCCGAGGAGGCCTTGAGATATGGAGCCCTAGAAGTGGACACTGGCACTGGCACCCAAGATAAGGTAACAGATGCCCCTGCTCAACAAAGAAGGGAAGTGCCTGGGTCTAAGGTACCCTGAGGTGAGAACAGATGGGCACAGAGCTGAGCAGGCTGAGCTGATAATAGCTCCACTTACGTGGGGCCCACCAGAAGCCGGTCTGTGATATTTAATGGGCCCTTGTTCTAGTTTGGATGATAACCCTGTAGATGTGGAAAGGAAGGCACAGGCTACGCAACTTACTTTGGTTGAAAGCCTGGAAGCAGCACAGGTAGGATTTGAATTCAGGGAGGCTGGCTCTGGATACTTAATCAGGCTTTGCAGAGAGCTACAGGTAACAACTCGTAAGTGCTACTAGTTAGCAGGCATGCAGAGAGAGGCATAAATCCTCAGAGCATTTGCCCTTTTGGAGGGCGGGATGAGCTGTGTGAGTGTGTGTGCATGTGTGTGTGCACAGGCATGCGTATTTGTGGAGGGAACAGGGTTAAAGCGTCCATCCTGCTGGAGAAGATGCGGACAGGTCCTCTGAGACCTTAATGACTATCATTTATTCCGATGGGAGAAAGGCTGCGATTGAGTGAACACTGCGCCTGCCTTCTCTAGTCCCTCAGGTGAACATGAATAGATATCAATTCAACAGCCTGTGAAGACCAAAGATGAATGAAGACAGACATCAAATTCCCTGCTTGCCGTCCAAGTTGCTGTGCTGAGCCGTTGTACCATTACCTGACTCATCCCCCCCAAATCAGGTTAATGTATTTCAAACTGGCTGAGCAGTGTCGAGAATCCCTGAGCTGAATCCCTGGGGACGGCTGCGTTTTGATCTCACAGACTCGGCAGGCCCGAGCCATGGATGAGGGTACTTTTTTAAGATGCAGAGTTTGCTCCCTTACTTCACCTCCCTCTCATCCCCCGCCCCCTCCCGGCCCAGACTCTACCTGTGGCCGCGCTTTCTTGACAGCAGTTGGTGGCACACTGGTCCCGCAGCACTGACACCTCCCTCTCCAGCATCTCGATCCGGCTCAGCAGCTCCTGCAGCACCTGGGCGGAGCCGGCACACGGGCAGGCCTTTTTGGGGAGGTTGATCCTGTGGGTGAAGGTGACCTGGCTCTCGTGGTCTGAGGTCTGCCCTGTGTACTCTGCCAGAGTCTCCTCTTCCGCGCTCACCTCCTGCTCGGCCGAGGCCTCTAACCCCGAGGAGCAGAGGCTGTCCAGGGGTACGTTAATGTTGTACACGTGGTTGAAGACCATGGGCTGCTCTTTGCTGGATGTGCTGTAGTTGCCCATGCCTCCTTCGTCCTCCACTGCCTGCCTCTGGACTCTTTCCGTGCTCACCTCCAGCTGACACTCTGAGGGCTTGAGCATGGAGCCCAGAAGGATCAGGTTGACACCGATAAGCATATTCTTCAGGACCACTGTTTCCCCATCTGCCCCCATTCTCTCAGCCAGAGCTCGTTCAAGACCAGCCTTCAGCACACGGCATGGAGTTGTGGGAATCTGCAAGAGAATCCAAGGGCCAATGCAACCTCTGAGACCTGCGCCTTGGTGCCACCACTCTCCCTAGTCCTACAAAGCTGAAGTAGGGGCAGACAAAGATTCTGGCAGGCCCTGAGGAGGGACAGTGGATGCCCAAGCCAGAGAGTCCAGGGCTTTGTTCTTGGAGGACTGGATCTCTGAAAATGGATACTGCTTTTGCATAAGACTGTTCTGGCCTAGAACTTAAGGACTCTGGCCCCCATGGCAGGAAAGTTTCTCCTAGAAGACACACGCGGGCTGGGAGCGGGGGCTTTTTGGATACAATGTTCCTCTTAGGAGAGCTCAGACCTTCCTTTCCTTCTGGTTGAGAATTAGAAGAAGTGGGCCAGGGAGCCTTACCTGTACTTCCACAGTTCCCCTAGATACCTATCAGGAAAGGGCCCCACAAGCCACTTCAGAGAACTTACTAACTCCTTTAAACTCACCTCTTCAGCACAGGTTGACTTTTGTATAACCAACCAGGCAAATAATACAGTTCCAGGTAATTGTAATTGTTAATTACCATTGGGTTCATTTGTGATTATCTGGGACCGTGTGAGCCCAACTTTCTTTTAATCATCTCATTAGTATAGTTCCAGCGCTCTGTGACCACAGGGTGCCTTTCTTCCAAGGTCCTGTTGAAATTGCTAAAATAATAAATTACCTCCTCTGTTGGTTACCTAGTCACCGGGAACCAAGGAGTACAATAAATTCACGGTAATGAAAATCTATTTTACAAAAACTGTGTTCCCTTTTTATTTCCTATGTAAAAAAATAAAAATAAAAGAGACTTACAAATTTTCGTTCTGAAGGTTTAGAGCTACCAAGAAGATTAAGGATTTGGGAACCTAGTGAGAGTAACTGTGAGTCTGAGGAGAAGGTAGCAGAGGGCACGGAAGGCGCATGGTGCATAGACCGTGCCGTGTATCTCACTCACCCCTCAGGGCAACGTACCCCAGCACTTGACCATATACTTATCTTGCACTGGAGTGATTTCTGCCTGGACAGGTTAAGATTTGCAGGCAGACCATGACGACCAAACCCCTGTTCTTAACTACTGTGTTCCAGCAGCTTTCTCAAAAAGGGAGTTCAACTCTATCTTGTCTCTGAGGGAAATGGTGGAACTTGTAGAATCTTCCCAGAAATGCTGGATTTTGATTGGGCCTCATTCAGTGTTCCTTCCTCCACTAAGCATTCTTCTCCATCTATTCCCTGCTCTGCTCCCCCAGTGTAGGTTGAATTAACCCCCATTATTCCACAAGTCCCCTTCTAACAGCACTGATGGTGCAAGACTGTGGGCCTCCTTGGCTTGCATCTCCCCACCTGGACTGCCAAAGTGGCTGGGACCAGCCTGAGTCTTATCTGTAGCATGTGACAGTGTACAAGACAGGGAAAGTGCCCAGGGTGTGGTTGTGAGTGAATGGATGGGCAGTTGTATGAAAGGCTGAACAAATAGATGAATTAGTGAGCAAGTGCTCAGTGGGCAGAAGGTTGGCTCCTTCTCCAATCCATTTGATCCCTCCCGGTTAACCCCAGTCACGCGCTATTCTCTTCAGTTTCCACTCTGAACAACGTCTGAGGGTTGGCTGAACTAGGAGCAACATGTATCGTTGACAACCACAGAAACCCTCTCTTCTGACTCAGCCTGTAGGTTGTATGTTGGACTGTGGCCCATCTCTGTTTCCAATATGGAGAGGAAGCAGAAGACCAGAACCGTGGAGACCACGGGCTCCCGAGCCAGCTGCCCAGGCTCGGGCCTCAGTCCCTTCCTTTATAGCTGTGAGGAGATCACTTACCCTCTCTCTGCCTCAGTTTCTCATATACAGAGAGAATAATCGTACCTACCTTAAGGAGTAGGAGTGACGACTGAGTTTTATCTGTATAATTCTTATTAACTAAAATAAATATGGTTTGCAGATAGGTAGAATAATTTTTTTCTGATTTTTCTCTTTTTCAAGAACTGCCCTGAAACTGCTGGAATATATGAAATGTCCTATCTATTGGGGGACATCAGAAAAGACTGCTCCTTAGCATAACGTTGTGGAAACACTGGTGAGGTCCCGAGAGTTGTGGGAGATGGAGAGCCTCCTTCAAATTCAGGTGAGGTAACTCTACCTTGGGGACAGGTGGAGGGTCACATCTGAACCAACTGCCCTTATAACTACAAGCTCTCCCATGCCCCCCTCCCATCCCAGCTCTACCTGCCTTCCTGATTCCCCGTGTTCAGGCATTACATCCCCAGAGAGTCGCTTCTGCCCTCCTGTTATTGAACCTTTCCAGGAACGGCTCTGCCCTCTGTCATTTACACATGGAAGAGGCCTGCTGTCTCTCCTATTGGATTAAAGTTTGTTTTTCTGATCCATGTTGATATTACTGAACAACTTTTTTTCTTGTGGGAATTATCACACAATACTCTGTAGTACTTAGTGCAGATTTCTGCACATAGTTGATAACTCAATAAATAAATAATAACATTATAAATGAAAAGGAAGACAAGTGACAGGCAAATCAAGAGGGAAAAAATGTTAAGTCCTACACTTTGATCCCAAACAACAGCAACAAGATTATACAGAGAGGGGAAGGCACAGTGTTATATGGGGAAAAACATTCAATAACTAAACTTGCTATGAGTCAGTCAGGAGTAACCTCCAAATTCTTATTGAAACATAGGCTTTATTAATTGAAATGCAGAATAAAGGATAAACAAGGGGCTGCTCTGCTATGTACTACACTGATCATCAGTCACACACATCTGGGCGGCTAAGGTGTTAAAAGGGCTCAAAACTGTGTCATATGAGAGGAGGTCATTCATTTCTAAATCACTTATTCATTAATAAACTTTTTTTATTAAAAAGTATATACTATCCCAGCCCTTTGTTCATGGAAGTTACATTCAAGAGTGTGTGGGATGGTGGGGACAGAAAACAAGTACCAAAAACAATTACGTGTATTATAGATACCATAACACATTGTATGTTTATGCTATTCAATACATGGGTATACATGCTATTCAATACTTGGGTAGGTTTGCATCAGAAAGGGGTAAGTGCTGTGGAGAAGAATAAAAGATAAGTGAGCCAGCCTGGGAGTTAACAGGTGGGGTCAGGGATTCTTTAGAGAGGGGGCTGGAGAAGCCTCAATAGAGATCCATCAGAAGCCGGGTAGCGGGCGGAGCAAATGACAGGGGCTGTGCATCCCAGCCATGAGGAGTGGCGAGAGACAGGTGAGGTGGAGTGATGGCATATCTGGGGCCAGGTGAGGAGCTGATGTGGGGAGATGAGGTTAGAAGAGTAGTGGGGTCTAGATCATGAATGGCCCCCTAAGCCACCAAAAGGACTTTGACTTTCACCGTGGATATATGTTGTGTATATTCTCAAACGCGTCCACACACTCAAACACTTATTATGACCTCCTTACAGTCCTCGAGAGATGTATGGTCTCAAGGAAGAGATAAAAATGTAAGTAAACATAATGACAATGCAATGTAAGTAAACATAATGACCCTGAGTACTAAGTGCTGGAGATGCCTAGGGCAGCCGGGAGGTAAAACAAGCCGTCCTACCAGGCAGCAGAGAAGGTGACACAGAGACATCAGTGCTGTCTGTCAAGTATTTCTGGCCCGGCTTTCAGGCACACAGTAAGACCACATTTTCCAACTCCTTTTTGGTTAGGTGAGGCCATGTCACTAGTTCAGCCAGCCGGTTGTAAAAGGCAGTGACATGTGTCACTTCTGGGCTGATGCCTTCAGTTGCTTAGGGGATGTCGTCCAGTTCTTTCTCCATGGTGACTCCGTGTTCAAGATGGTGGCTGCTCTGGCAGTCTGGGTCCCCAGAGGACTACAGTGAACAGAGTTCTGCTGAGTCACGGTGAATGTGCAGTGTAGGAGAGAAATAACCCTCTGGTTTTTGAAGCACAGATTTTTGAGATTGCTTCCTCTCCTCATTCCCCCACAGCATAACCCCTTCTATCAGAAGATAAATACTGAAATGGCCCTTCAGGAATTCCTCTTTAGTAAAGACAGAAGTTCATTCCATATGGGAGAAATTGCATTTGCAAAAACTCTGATGTGAGGAAGAACACAATATCTGAAGGGCTGTGAAATGTAAGGGACTGGACATTTACACAGCAAAAGGGCCCCGGGAGGTAGTTTCCATCAGTTGGGGAAAAATGTACATGGGAAGAGATTTTGGTCCACCATAAAGACTATCTTTCCTGGCAGTGAGCACTGCTGGTGTCACGATGGGCAGTGAGCTCCTGGTCACTGGACCTGTTCAGGCACAAGCAGAAACACTACTTGGTAAGAATGCTGAAGGGGATTTTCAAGCATTAGAGGAGACTAAATGGGACTAAAATGAATGTTACAGTCTTTTCTTTGCTGATACTTTATAAATTCACAGTCTTGGTGGACTTTTAGGAATCTACCCACTACAAGGTTGTATTGATTTCTAGGGCTGCCATCACAAATCATCACAGACGGGCAGCCCCAAACAACAAAGCTTTCTCCTCTCACCGTGCTGGAGGCCTGGAAGTGCATGATCCAGGTGTTGGCAGGTCAGTTCTCTCAGAAGGCTCCGAGGGAGACTCTATTCCTGCCTCTTTTCTAGTTTCTGAGGATGCCCGGGAGCCCTGGGTGATTCTCACCTGGTGGATGGCGCAGCCTTCTCTCTGTGTTCCGTTTGTTCTCTTTGTATCCTCACACGGCCATCTTCTCAGAAGCTCACTGGCCATACTGCATTAGGGACTCTACCTACTCCAATCCGAAGAGGTCTTAGGAGCCAGGACTTCAACCCAGCTACAGCTCAGATGCATGATTCAGCCCCAAACTAATACCAATAGTAACTGGATCAAACTAAGCTGTTCTTTGAGTTGCTCTGCCTCATTCCTTGCAGTAACCCTTTAGTGTAGGGAGGAATGATATTTGGGACTCTGGATATTTATGGCTCTGGGATGACTTGGGCAACAACCAGTCGAAATGGGGCATC